GCAAGGGTGAGAGACTGGTGCACCTTTTTTTCTAAAAAGAGTACAAATGGTTATGGTGAGCAGGTTGCAATGCAGTTGTGTACAACCTTGGTAGGTTCTAGTAACAGTGTGGTGGAAAGATGTTTGTAGATCTTTTTTCGGGGCTTACGCTGGCCTCCTATTTCCTATTTTCTTTGGCAGCATACAGCCTCAACCCCCCCCCCAATTCATCCATAATCCAGAAGGATTGGCATGATTGTTCAATGCAGCCCTGCCTCTTCGCTGTAATTCTAATACTTTATACCTGCACTTAACAATTTACAGCCGAGGTTTGTATATTTTGCAAAATAGTGGATACACTAAACACCATCAAGTAATTAACAATAAATGCCTGTTTCATAATTACGTCATATCCCCCTACCAGGCAAACTACGGTTATTCAAATTCAATAATGAATCAATGAATGAGTGTTGATTCTATGTTCACTATGTGTCACTCGTACATGTTTTGCCCTCTAGGATTCAGACTTACGGACATCCTATATATAACAAGAGAAAAAGGATGAAAAGCTCTTGATGAATACGGGTGTTAGAGAAAGAATGTACTTTAACAATTTGTAAAATTGTTTGAGATTGAAATGCAATAAGAGCTTGAAATGCAAGTAATGTTCTTAGCGTTTAAATGGTTTATCGATATATTTCAAGCAAGTAAAGGACCTGAAATTTGCGTAATTCTGTCGACGCGAAGACCACATTTTAAACCCATTTATCTGTGAAAAATCCCATATGGTATATAGAGAGGGAGATATTAATTATATAACCATAATATATAAATAATAGTGATTTGTATAAGTATCATGGTATCACCAACATATGATAAATACTCATTAATATGCCCCCCAACGTATATACACATGTTTGTCACACTCACTTGTGAGACCTATGTCACACAACACCACTCAAGCACTCATTAATATACCTCCAGCACTTTAGTATTTGGGTCTTAAAAGGTGTTTAAATCGTGTTTTGGTCAGTCAAGTGATGTTAGATCGACGTCAAAAAGGGGTTACTGGGGCCAGTGACTGTTGCATGTGGTCAGGTCATATGACGTATTGTCGAGGTGTGAGGTGTAGTATTACGAGTTACAGATTAAGGAACGTTAAGACATGGACATATGCCCAGTGATTATTTTAAAATGGTGTGATCCTCACCCAGTGGGCAGAATATCCACGCGTGGCACTGGTTCGATGTTGAATCAATGTTATTAACGTTACTTGGGTAATGTTGAATCAACGATATCGACGATGATTCAAGGTTGAATCAACATCGGTGCTAACATGTGACCATTATGGTAATGAGAATCAGTATAACGGGCTTATTTACAGTGTAAATATCCAAGTAATAATATAAATCTATTGGTGCAATAGATTTATGAATGCGTCTGTGGGGTCGACCGCTGGAAGTAATGGATTTGAATCCATTACATTTGCCTGGCATGTGGACCTCACAACTCAGTACACCCCACGCCTAATATCTCCATATGCTGAGGTTATCTTGAGATGATTTCGGGGCACATACTTCCTGAGGTGTGTAATGGACTTGAGTCCATTAGAGACCATGTCAAAAAATTTGTCCATGAGAAGCAAGTGTTATTTTATAATTGTTTATGCCTCTAAAGTATAAAAACAGGCTATTATTCATGTGATAATTTGTCTCGGTCGGCAGCCTTTAAGTACTTCCAAGACATCTTTCTTGACTAGCTGTCTGAAGAAAATGTTAGAGCAAAGTTTGCGGAGAATAATAATTTTCTATACTTTTGAGGAAATAAGCAATAACAACACTACCCAGACCCATAAGGGGGATATTTAACTTAAATATGTTAAATAAATTTAACATATTTAACATAGAGGAAACTAGATTGTTTCCTTCAAGGAGTACCGGACCAACCGGGCTGTGGTGGGTATGTGGGCCTGCGGGCCGCTCCAAGCAACAGCCTGGTGGACCAAACTCTCACAAGTCAAGCCTGGCCTCGGGCCGGGCTTGGGGAGTAGAAGAACTCCCAGAACACCATCAACCAGGTATCAACCAGGGGAACAAATGACTTTGTTATAATCAAATCTTATTTCAGCATGACAATCATATGGGTAATACTAACAACATATAAATAAACAACTCTGAATACTCGTACTCACCCCCCCCCCTGCCCAAAAAAAATCGTGACAAAAGTTGAAAGTCAATTTACCTGTCCACGCAGGGAGACGACCACCCGCCGCTGGGTGACGACGGTTACTGACCGTTGGGCCACGTGGCCGCCCACCGGGTGGAGGAAAATATCTCCCGGTATAAGTCTTGTTACCGCTCGTTGTTGTTGTCGTTATAGATTCAGCTACTCGGAACAAGTTCCAAGTAGCACGGGCTATGGTGAGCCCGTAACTTACCCGGCACAGGAGCGGGGCAAGTAGCCCGTAGTGGACTTACCTGGCACAAGAGCGGTGCTGTGTACCGCTTGCTTAACTGATTGATTATATACTAATTTCAACTGCCAGGTCAGAATGTACACTAGTTTATCCTTTGATCTTAACATGCATTATATTAGTCTCTTCATTTTTAACATAATATATATAATACAAGCAATCCTAAGTCTCACACATACACACTGAGTTACAATTACATGTTGGACTCGTAACAAGTGCATTATGTGTTAAGTGAAAAGAGTCACTTTCAAATATAGTATGTCCACATTCAACAAAGTAATGGGTCTAAGTCTTGTTACCGCTCGCTTATAGATGGGAACAAGTTCCAGTAGCACGGGCTATGGTGAGTAACTTACCCGGCACAGGAGCGGGGCAAGTAGCACAGGCTATGGCGAGCCCGTAGTGGACTTACCTGGCACAAGAGCGGTGCTGTGTACCGCTTGCTTAACTGATTGATTATATACTAATTTCAACTGCCAGGTCAGAATGTACACTAGTTTATCCTTTGATCTTAACATGCATTATATTAGTCTCTTCACATTTTTAACATAATATATATAATACAAGCAATCCTAAGTCTTAATTGTTAATAATAATAATAAATAAATTTGAATTTAGGAAAAGGTACACACATACACACTGAGTTACAATTACATGTTGGACTCGTAACAAGTGCATTATGTGTTAAGTGAAAAGAGTCACTTTCAAATATAGATATGATAGAACCCAGTAGGCTCGGGAATCTGTACACCAGATGGGAACCAGTATAACGTTTAATATAACCAGTATAAACTAGAAGACAGAAGAAAAAGAGGTGATATGATCACTACATACAAAATAGTAACACGAATTGATAAAATCGATAGGGAAGATTTCCTGAGACCTGGAACTTTAAGAACAAGAGGTCATAGATTTAAACTAGCTAAACACAGATGCCGAAGAAATATAAGAAAATTCACTTTCGCAAACATAGTGGTAGACGGTTGGAACAAGTTAGGTGAGAAGGTGGTGGAGGCCAAGACCGTCAGTAGTTTCAAAGCGTTATATGACAAAGAGTGCTGGAAAGACGGGACACCACGAGTGTAGCTCTCATCCTGTAACTACACTTAGGTAATTACCAGTTGATTGACGGTTTGAGAGACGGGACCAAAGAGCCAAAGTTAAACCCCCGCAAACACAACTACGTGAGTAGTACAAGTGTGACACAAGTGTGTGAGGATGACAGGTTGATCACAACCTGATCAACCTAGGCTGTGATTCATACGTCAGGCTGCGAGAAGCCGCGTCCAACAGCCTGGTTGACCAGCCTGGTCTGGGACCGGGCCGCGGAGACGCTAAGCCCCGAAATCCTCGCAAGGTAAGTATGTGTCGGCTGTATAATGTAAAGAGTATGTGAGGTGTAAAGTATGACCTGACAGCTGAGTGGACAGAGCTTCGGATTCGTAGTCCTGAGGTTCCGGGTTCAATCTCCGGTAGAGGCGGAAACAAATGGACAGAGTTTCTTTCACCCTGATGCCCCTGCTACCTAGCAGTAAATAAGTACCTGGGAGTTAGACAGCTGCAACGGGCTGCTTCCTGGGGATGTGTAACAAAAAGGAGACCTGGTCGAGGACCGGGCCGCGGGAAGGCTAAACACCGAAATCATCTCAAGATAATTTCAAGATATGGAGATGTTAGGCTTAGGGTGCACTGAGATGTGAGGTGCATCCATCGCCACATGTCAGGCAAACTACATAATTGGTTCAACGTTACTCAGGCATGTTTTGCTCACAGGGAAGGTGATGTGCTAGGGAAGGGGGGGTGAAATGTGTATGGAGTATGTGAGTACATCACATAAAGATGTGCTGAGTTATCTTTCGTACATCATATAAACATATAAAGATGTGATGTACGAACCAGTCGAAGACGTGAGTACGAGCCTAAAAAATATAATTTTTTTTAGAGAACTTATGGATTATATTCTAGTTTTAGGGGGTATATCTTGATAACCATTTGTGGCTTGCAATTAATATAACAAAATATTTAGTACTCTACTTATTTATTATCAGATGCAATTCTTGGTTGAGCTTGTTAGAAAAAAAGTTTTATACATGACAAAATTATAAAGGTTTTTAATTATAGAGGTAAAGGACAAAATTATAGAAGGAAAATTGTAAAACGAAGAGAAATTGACATATATTGCATAACATTCAAGGAATGAAAAACAAGATTAAGAAATCAAAGTGGACAATAGAGGTTTATGTTATATATAATTACAACATCCTGTATATGTTGTTTTTCTTGTTAAATTAGTTCACAACTTAGAAACAAATACAAAATTTACCAGAGTATACCAGAGGGGTCACCACTAACCCTCTAGTGGCCCTCAACGAGGACAGGAAGCCGGCGGCTTGTCAAAGGTTCCCCCCATTTGTCCCGATGATAACATTTGAAATTAATTTGAATTAATTCAGTTTATATTACTTTCAATTTTAACATCATAGGCTCGTTCATTATGTAATTCGTGAGAAAAATTATATTGTTAAAGGGAAAAAGAAAACACAATGTATAATGTTAAAATTTTAACTTATCTTTTGGTGAACATAAAGTTATCTTTTGGTGAACATAAAGTTATGTTTTGGTGAACATAAAGTTATCTTTGGGTGAACATAAAGTTATCTTTGGGTGAACATAAAGTTATCTTTGGGTGAACATAAAGTTATGTTTTGGTGAACATAAAGTTATCTTTGGGTGAACAGTATATATGAAAGTCACATTCATACGAATCATTTGAATTTATGACAATTTTACAAAATAAGTTAAAAATAACAGTACTTATGAATTTAGCTGTTAAGTTACTTTAACATATGATATATATATATTTTTCACATGAGTGCACCATTTATAATTACAATAATTTGTAATAAATTACAACAATATAAAAAAAATCAAAGTTTGCCATTTCATAAACACAGTTTTGTTGATCAACACGTGACGTCACGTGTTGTGCGTCCTGGAAAGTCAGTCAACGTATTTTGCAATATTTACCTGGATTTACCTGAGGGCCACCATCTATTTAGTGGCCTCGACGGGGGCAGGAAGCCGATACCTTGTCAAATGTCCCCTATTTTTTTCTTCTGTGAATCTATAAGCATTGATTACTGCCATATATTCTAAATCAAATTAAATATTGTAAATCAGTGAATAAGCAGATGTTGTCGTCCACCGCTCATTCTTGACTTTTTGTTACAGCTCTTCAACAGATATTTAAAGTAATGCAGCTAAATTATTGATCTGCAAGAATGTAAGTCTTAATCACCAAAACTTGTAACAATGCAATCCAATGTACATTTTTTCTGTATAAATAAATAAACAGAAATCAAGTGTGAAAATGGTTAGCAAAGGAATTTGTTTAAATATGGGGGTGATATTTTCTATGTGGTACCAGTTGGGGTCCCACATACTCTAACCCACATGATCAAGACCAGCTGAGGGGCCCACATGGCCCAGCTGAGAGTTCACATAGACAAGCCGAGGGCTCGACTGAAAGCCTGATGTACAGCAGCTGTAACCCGGCATAATACTCCAGATCTTAGACCACCTAAGAGTCTAAAGGCTCCCTTGACCTGAAACAGCTGAAGGCCCCACATGATGTGGATCAAATAAGGGTCCACATGACCTAAATAACTTGCGAGTTCCCAGTTATCTGAAATCAGCTATGGGTCAGCACTCACTGGGAAGTGAGAAGCCTCACGCCTGGGACACTCAGCATGTCCCTCACAACAGTGAGTCTTCAGCAATATTCATCACCTTGTTCTATACACTATGTACAATTCTAAAATATAAATATTTATCTTTGTGTATGTACCACAATAAAAAAATAATTTAAATTCTATATGGACAACCTCTTCGTGTGCATACATATTGCAAATGTGTATATGTATATATATATAATGTATGTGTGTGTGTGTGTACGAATGCATATATGTATGTAAATGTGTAATATGAAATAAATAATTGAAATCTAGTCAAGTAAAAATTAGCTTGGGGTTATAGTGACTATCAACAACCATATCGGAGCGTTGTAGTTCGAGAGTCTTCGTGGCGCAGTGGTCTGCATACGAGACTGATGTACAGGTTTCCCTTTCACCAATATTTATAAGTGTGGATGCTACATTTACTTGTCCTCTAGTCAACCTTTATTCCGTATAAACTGCACTTTACATACACACACATTATATATATATATATTTATAGATCTTTATCATCACTACAATTTTGTCCCCATTGCCTCAGAGACACTTGGTGTCTGGGGTAAAAGTGCTCCTAGTTTTTTTAAAGAGCTAGGTTCCAAGCTCATTGAAACAACTAGAGACCCTAAAGCCGCCAGTTTAATCTTTCAGAGCCTTAGTGTGGCGATTCAGAGAGGAAATGCTCACTGCATCCATGGTTCCTGCCCGCCATCTGAGGAGCTAGAGGAACTCTACAACTTGTGACAAGCAACCTTGTACCCTGCATGTAACCCTTTTTGGGTAATGAAATTTTAAAATAAAGTGAGATATATATATTATATATATTATATATGTATAAATATACACGCTTGAAACTTAAAATCTGGATATACGCTACTTAACACAGAGTTCAAGAAATTTTACTTCACAATAAAGGTATTATAGATTCTATTTTAGTTTACCTGATTATAAATATATTAATATTTGAACTTAATACTGTATTTTACAATAAGGTTTGCTAGTAAACTTGGTTTTCTCTGAAGTGGGCGTCCTGGAGAACGGTAATAAAATACTCGAGATTGACCTCACCGTAGTTTGGGTCAGTAGCAGTTTGTATGGCCGCGTCAAAGGAAGCCTCTGAGATCTGCAGGTTGTACACCAAGTTGTACGTCGCTGCTACACGGTGTACTGCGTCTGGTGGCATGTATCCTGTGGGAGAGTGCACGTCTTCCAATTAAAAGTGGCATTAAAATAGTTGTATTTTTAAATTTTTATTTTGCAGCAACTGTGTATGAGGCTGCGAATTTGACTTTGTCCTTGCCGTCACACAAATAAAATACAAATACAAATATTTATTCAGGTAAAGTACATACAAGGTGAAATACAAAAGTTGATGGATTTATAGATAGAGCTAGTACATACAATGCCTAAAGCCTCTATTACGAAGAGCGTTTCGGACAGAAACCATTTATTACCATTTCTACGTGGAAATAGATGTTGACAATGTTGATCAGTCAACCTTATTTAAGTCAAGCTGGATTAAATTATGCAACAATCTTTTGTGGAGGTTTCAAGACATGCACATATTTCCTTAAGTAATACAAGGCATCATTAAATAATAATTTTGTATTAGGCAGTTCTTAGTCACGAAACTCAAAATTTTTTTTTACTGAATAAATTACGCATCAGTAGCAACAACGGTGTAAGGTATCATCTAAGTGACAATTTTTACTAATTGTAAAATATAGCAATGACAGAATAATATATTTATTGTCGACTAACGCTAATATGTAATTAAAGTTGTCGGTCAAAAACTGACGTAATGGGGCCAGATTCACGAAAGCACTTACGCAAATACTTACGAACGTGTACATCTTTCCTCAATATTTGACGGCTTTGGTTACATTTATTAAACAGTTTACAAGAATGAAAACTTCCCATTCAACTGTTGTTATTGTTATAAACAGCCTCCTGGTGTTTCGGAGCTCATTAACTGTTTAATAATTGGAAACAAAGCCGCCAATGATTAAGAAAAGATGTACAGGTTCGTAAGTGTTGGCGTAACTGCTTTGTGTGAATCTGGCCCCTGGTCTGCCCGTCCTCCAGAGTGGCCACAACGTCACTAAACTGATGCTCGAACAGGTGCCAGCCAGGGTCTTATAATGTTTCAGTAAGTGAATTAGATCCTTTATTCCAGTTAATATGAAGTGAAGTTATAAACTTGTGTTGAGAGTATGAAGCCGTTTCATTCCACGTTCCTCGGGATACATAAGAGAGAATGTAAACAAATCCAACTGACCTGGAGGAGTTTAATTACCTGACTGGTCCTCGTCGGCACTGTAGACTGCCTGAGCGAGATACTGGTAGTCATTAGTCCACCTCTGCATGTCAAATTCATGGGAGTCATCGGTGTGCATGAGAGGCAGTGGTGGGAGGGGTGGCGGGGCCTGGGGCGCACGCTGCTGTGGCTGTGGTGGTGGTGGTGGTGGTGGTGGTGGTGCAGGCTCCGGCACCACGGGCTCGACTTCAATGTACTCGTCATTGCGGCCATTTCCTTTCGGCATTTCCATATGCTAAAATATGTAAAACACTGATGTGTAACTGCTTTTGGAGTTAGTACAGTCAGGGTTCGTTCTCGAATCACAATCGCGAATTCCGGGTTTGAATCCCGGATGGGAGAGATATGATTGGACACATTTCCTTTCACCTAATGCCTCTGCGGCTCTGGCTGTTACGTATGACATTTGTATGTATGTAATAGACCTATTTGTATAGCGAAATGTGGTAATAATAATGAAAATAGTTCCACATACCTGTTGTGGGTTATTTTCCCATGGCGCGTGTAACATTGACTGGTTCTGAAAGACTGGTAACTGGCCCACTCTCGCCTGACGTGGCCGGTGATTGTTACCTGCAGGAAGACACACTCATCAAGTCCCTCGACGATGGTCTCGTCCGACACGATGACTCTAGATCTTGAAATATGCATTACATACCATGCAGAGGTTTTGAGGCTGTACTGATTTCTTTTTGTATGCAGCTTGATGGCTGTGATACTCGGTTGTGGTGTGATCTTTGTCAAGTACACGTAGACTAAGTTTTTGGTCTGGATGTATAGCTACCTATAGGGCTCAGCGAGTGTTGTGTACCTAACAAGTAGTGTTGTAATCCTCCACAATGAGTAGTGTAATCCTCCACAGTGAGGGATGTGCTCCCCCACAGTGAGGGATGTGCTCCTCCACAGTAAGGAATGTGTTACTCCACAGTGAGTGGTGTAATCCACCAGTGATCATAATTTTCATCCACAATATAATTATACAAGTCATGGCAGCCTCTGAGTGTAACAAGGCATCAACCATTCAAAACAAATGACTATGAAACAAGGTAGTTACTCTAGCAACGGGTTGAAATTAATCTTTCACATTCATTGTATAGTTGCATGAATAAAGTACAGTGGCTGACGTATGGAATGTTGACATATTCCATCGGCCAAAACATTCTACAGTAACGTTTAATTAACGGTGCATTAACGTTTACAACGTTCATTTATTGCTACGTCAACATTTGCATTATTTGACCCCAGCAGGTTATATATATCCACTAAATATACTTATCAAATATCTATTGCAACTAAGCACGACAGAAAACTCTTAGAAATGTAAACAAACAGAATTGTAATTACCCAGCATAACGGTATAGTGGGTTTCCGGCACGACTCTGGTTAGATAGTTCATAAGGGTTTCAATCCTGTACATGCCCGCCCCGGTGCGGTCTGTGGCCAGTAGGAGGCGCGCCCGCACGTCCGGCGTTAGGTGCACGCCACACTTATACAAGGCCAACTCTGCCTGCAAGAACGCCTTCGTTGTATTTCTAAGAGTGAACTGTAGAATGTGTTACAGACTTTTTATTTTAAAGAAGCTAGCTACCATCATTTAATAAAAAATGTTATGTATGCGTATACTGTATATTATAATTATATATATAAATGTATATATATTTATATATAATACATATATATACATTATATATATAAAGACAGCTGGAGCTCCTTAAACTGGTCAAGGCATTCTTAACAGCTAGACTATGATACTGGAGCTCCACCTGGGTGAGGGAATATGGATATAATCATGGCTCCGAGGGACAACAATCGCAGTGCAGAGCCTCTGAACACCACATTTCATTTGCACTACAAGCAGCTGCTCTGTGACCTTTCCTTCAACAATGATTAGTAAAAATTGTATTAAATTTTCTGAGTTTAAACTCTTTCTATCCACCACTGTGCTCCAGGCGACAGCAATCACCATGTAGTGGATGGCCCTCATAGGTCACTGGCTCAGGTCATGCCATGGACCACAACAAACTCTTCGACATATTTATATATTACAAACAATAAGAATTATATTAGGCAAAATAGGTTAGAATTGTAAGTACAATACAATACAATTGTTTATTATGCGAATGAATAATTCAACATAGAGGGTGTACATGAAGGTTGGATGCGAGAATTCGACGTGTCAGATCCTCAGTACTCATCAGGATATCAGAATCGTGATGGGTACCGAGATATCAGTACTGGGATAACAGGCAGCCACAGTACACAAGGATCTACTGAGAGTAGTGGAGGCTGCAGTGTTTACAAAGAGTCTCATATAAACGATACAAAATATAATATATGTTCTCCTCATCATGGAATAAGATCCATTATTCAATTATACAAAATGAGTGGAACATAGGAAAATCTACATGAAATATCAAAATGTTTATAGTGCCTAAAATATACATAACACAATACCTGGAATGCTTAAATGATTCAATAACTAAAATAATACAATACAAGAAAAATATTATCAAATCCAATTGATGATAAAATATACAATAGAGTAATGCCAGTCATACGAATAGAGGATAATAGTGTATAATGTATAAATCATTGATGAATTAAACATAAATATGATACAGCAAAACTATTTATTTTCACATGTATCTGGAGGTAACTCTTAACACTTAAATATCATACCAATTTGTGTCACTTACAGTTACTTATCATCATCAGTATTACATCAGGCAACACATTAACAGTATTACTTAAGGCTGTGCACCATCAATATTACTTAAATCTACACATCAACAGTATTACTTAAGGCTACACATACTCAGTATTAATTCATGCTACCCATCACAATCATCTGTATTACCTAAACACACACACCAAGACTACTGGTGTTATGCTGAGCTGCCGTAACAATGCTGGTATTATTCCCCACGTTAAGGTAAATCTGAACTTTTACAGTAACATTCGTTCCAGTAAACTGTGTTGGTTATCGTGTTCTCCTTCACCAATTCTTTAGGGAACTATCAATTATGAACAATTGATTTCTCACATGTAAATTAACTTCTTGTTGTCAAATGCACTTCTTTATATTTCAGAATTTCCACCTCAAGGCGTGTGGAACCAACTCATGTTCTCAGTTAAATTTAAACGTCCCATAATTAGAACTCTAGCCAGGGTACAATTGTCTCAATTAGCAAATAAATTAGCAAGTAATTTGCAAATTTTCCCAAAATTGATATTCACCTTTGGGGAATAAGTACCCACCATAAATAAAAGAACAAATCCCCAGACTTGCACAGACTTGCACTTGCACAACATTAGACTTGAATACTTATTAGCATGAGACATAAGCTTACAGGTTAAAAAAAAGGAGGAAATTATATTATGAAGAAATACCACACATATGACTATAACATCACCTAACACAGCATAGTCACAAACTAAATAAGATTACCACTGACATTTAACAACACATAAGAAACTGTTGAACATTTCGGACAAAAGCCGAATTATCTGGGGGATAACATATTAGACCCATTTGACGTGTTTGGGTCGTGCCATAGCGTACGAATGCAAGTGACCACAGAAACCAAATGGGAAATTATGTGAAGGTTCGTTACACAAGAAGTGGTGGTGAAGCCTCGTGGTGTGGAGCGTTGTGGTGTAGAGTGTTTGGCAACACTGGGGAGGCCCCGCCACCAGCAGCCTACCAGTTCAAAAAATCCCTGAACTATATGTTTAACAGATCTCTCACCCTGTCCATGGAGGACAGAAGGAAATGTATATATGCTGGTTAGCATTGTAAATGTGTGGCCACGTCTGTGGTAGAAAATAATAATAATAATAATAATAAAACACCAGGAGCCTCACAGCCTCATACTCCTCCACCACTTTGTATGGCGCTCGTCTGCAAGTGCTCTCAGAAGCTAAGATAATTTATCCAGCTGAGTTGGGTTAGCAAGTGGGCTCAAAGTCACTTGGTGCCATCATTCACCATTTTGGTTCCAGCTCCTAGACATTATCTAGCAACTCAATAAGTGTAGGTGTAAATTAGTTGGCAAAAACTAAGTCTTGTTGGTGCAAAATAATTTCCTTCCTTGCACACACCTGTGTACACGTGAAAACAACTAAAAGAAATTGAAACACTTATGGTCCACTAATGAATAACGAAACGAGTAACTTGAGATGTTGAAGATAACTTCAAGGTTATTGAAGGACAGACGCTTGGGAGGAATATTGAAAAACTAAATCTCCAAAGTTAATTTTACACCTGACGCTAATTGATAAGTCCAACTTAGTGCATCTTCAGACGCAAATTAGAAGTGAATACAACATATCCAAAAAGCAACACATAGTCCAAGTATGTATATATGCTGAGAGGAAAAGTGATTACCCTGTCGAGAGGACAGATATTGACCTCCCATTGACAGCTGGGTTAATGGGCGGAGCACCAACTGACAGATCCGTCATGCCCACGGTCAATCATGAACGAACCGAAATATGAACTGGCTGTTGATAACTATGAACGTGTTTGATGTGAAGTGCTTCTGCTTTGTCCGATCTCTTATTCTCCCTGTATTGGTCGATTATTTCGGAGTTGTTATAGCCAGGATCTTTCTGATGGTCTGGATGTGAGAAGAATGATGCGGTCATTAATGGAACCTTGCTATTTGTGCATAAATAAGAGCACTGAGAGCAGTGACAGCCGCCAAGTGGCCATGTAAAGGTAGATGCAACATTCATCTCATTTAAGGTATTGTGTTTGGTGTGGAGGAAAGTTCCTCGGGAGTAAGTTGGTAGTCTTCGTACTCTTGTAGTAAATTATGTCCTTCAGGACTCTTTCCTCCGTCTTGCGAGTCGTAGGAAAGTAGTTCCTGTAAGAGAGTTTTATAGGTGGGACAGGATCTGCAGGGCTGACATATTCACTCACCAAACTCATTTGCTCATAGTCAATAACATATGTAAACATCAAAGATTGCTTTTAATACATATACGGTATAAACACACATATAAATATAAATATTTATGCTAATTTTTATTAAAAAGAGTGGCACTAGCAGTAGATCCCAACTGTCCTATGAGTCTCAGACACCCCCCCACCTGTCATCTTGCAGGTTTGATGAGGCTAGCCCCAACCATCAAGTCCACTACGGGCTCCCCATAGCCCGTGCTACTTAGAACTTTTTGTTCCAAGTAGCGAATCTTTAACAACAACAACCCAACCATCTGCCCTCCTACTTTAGATAATCAGACAATATATATTATAAATAATTTTGAACTTTTAAGTCTATTTACTACTGAAAAATACCTAAATAAATCTACATATATATCAAAAGTCAAGCAAGAATATCTTGTAAACAAGGAGGGAAATATCAGGGAAAAAGTGCCAAGCCATTTCGACTATATAGCACTGGGAAAGTGTCAGGGTAAGGATTTGGGATGGGACGGCGGAAAGGAATGAATGGATGAATTAAACTAGAGACTAGAACAAGGAACTAGAGGACTGTACCTGTTGGCCAGTAAGGAAGTCATTCCGGTCACGATCCAGGTCATACATTGTCCTCCTGAGGTCAGCCATGTTGACCGGCTTGTCTGATAACTGTCTGGCCATGTCTGCGTACAGCTTGGCTTCGTCCCCATCACTGAAGACTACTCTACAGGTAGTACACAAGAGGTCAGGGCAGAGTACTCTACAGGTAAATACACAACAGGTAAGGGTAGAGTATTCTACAGGTAAATAAACAACAGGTAAGGGTAGAGTACTCTACAGGTAATACAGAGTACAGAGTACACAACAGGTCTGGGTAGACTACTCTACAGGTAATACACAAGAGGTCACAGTAGGAACTAGCACAAAGAATTAAATAAACGGAAAAGTGGTACGGAATATCTTCACGACATAAGCAGCAAGGATGGAGTGTGCTAGAGCAGGACAGCTGGCCAGGATAACAAAAACAGATTTACTTGTTTCTCAGGTTGATCTTACGAGGATCCTGTTGTTGCTGTGCTGCTCGCTGCTGCTGCTGCTGTTGTTGCATGCTGCCCGAGGCTCCAACAGTCCTGCAAAATTATTAAAAAATAAGTCCCAAATAAGAATGCATTTCTCTAACACTGGAATAACGGCAGAATTCGTTACAAACGCGTGTGGGTGGCGGTGTACGGACTGACCTCTGGTCAACAAAGGGAGGCGGGGGTTTGAAGGCCTCCATCCTGGACTTGGTGAGGTAAGCGAGCAAGTCCTCGTAGCGGACCATCGGGGCGTGATCGCCAGCGCGCCCAAACTTTTTACAAATGTTCCGCGCTCCTTCGTCACTCAAATGTAACTGTAAAAGATGGGGCTCTTAGCTTGGTTACTGTAGTGATAAATTAAAGGGTTCAGATTGGAACTTTCTTTATGTGAGAGAGAGAAAGAGAGAGAGAGAGAGAGAGAGAGAGAGAGAGAGAGAGAGAGAGAGAGAGAGAGAGAGAGAGAGAGAGAGAGAGAGAGAGAGAGAGAGAGAGACAAGGAATATATCAGCATATAAATATATCTGCTGTATATACCGATATAATTTCTGTACATGGATCATTACAACAAATACAATTATATAATGAGCAAAAATTGATACTAAGAACAGTTAAAAATCATAATTATTCAAACCAATTAAAAGTTTGTCAGATAAAAATACAAGAGTAAGAGTCAAGGAGATATTAGAGAGAAGCACACTCTCAAGGGTGTAAGAGAGTGCTGAACGCCCTCAAGGGTGTAAGAGAGAGGAATGAAGAAGACACTAAGGTGTGCTGGGACAAGCACACACATCACATGTGGGCCAGACAGCAGCATACACATATGTAAATGTTCTGACCAAATATGTTACATGAAGGGACCATCTTCCTCCCCGACACACACACACAACTTAATATCAGATAAATAACTACGTAACGGATTCGACAACTCACCTGAAACTTCCTCAAGGTTCCCTTAACAATATCTGAAGTCAGGACTCCGTCTCTATCACGGTCTTGAGCTCTTAGGTTAATAAGGAGACCTTGAAGGGCGCGCTCTGGCAGCTCCTTCACCTTTTTCACAACCTCATTCCTGCACCAAGGAAGATAATAGCCTAGCTTACTCAACGGGAACGGTTACAAGAATTAAAGTCACTGGTTATGGCTACTAGCCTCAAACTAACGCTATAATGCATTCATTTCCTCACGTCTGCAACCAAGCGAATATTCCTGATAATTGTAGTGTAGATGCAAACATGAATATACACCAGGAGGTATAATATATACCACATCAAGGATATTTTTTTGTTTAAATTGTAGGAGAATGCGGGGCAGTATTTTGTTGCCTAAAGCATAATAGTTGCAGGAATCGTAGGCTACAGGAAGGGTAGCCCGAGAGAGTCATCAGTGCATCATGCCACAGAGCGAGGAAGTTATTTTCTGAGTAATGCTGCAGGCAGAGTATCCATACATGGTTTACCTTACGGTTTTCCTTCCCCCAGGATATAACCCACAACAGTTGAATAACTCCAGTCTGAGATGACCCAGGGATCCGCCGTCCGGCTTCAACAATGTTCTCCATGATATATCACGTTATCGTGGTTTCCTTGTGTATATATCAGTTATGTTATCCATGCAGGCCAATGGTTCAGGGGCTCCGGACTGTCACGAAAATGGTGACAATACACAACAAATATATCAAGTGTCTCAAGATATATGGACCTTCAAGATAACTTAGTGCTTATATAATTGCCAAGTTAATACAACTTTCATATATTAATTACATATAATAATATATAATATTATATTAAACATACACACACTAGAATGGGTCCCGGCGGTGCCCGGGTCTCTCTATCTCTCTCGCTGTCCCTCCTCTCCCCCTCCCTCCCCCATCTTCTCACTCCACTTCCCCCCCCCCCTCCCTCATAGCACATAACATAACCTCAATGTTATTTGTACTATTGTTACATTGATGTAACGTTATAAATTAACGTTCTGGTTAGGTTGTGTATCGGTTGAGATATTATGAACAGCTGAAAATCTGTTGTAAACCTCTCAGAAACAAAAGGACCTTTTCAGACTTCATAGGAGTCGCTGGGATTCGGAATAGGAGACGATTCTTCTTCGTCTGCTATTCCATCTCCTATTCTTCGAAGTCTCCCGAAGACTGGGGACTTCGCCAACTTCCCCATGACACTCCCTATACAATTACAAATCACACTGCAAAGTTATGTGAGGCTAACCCCGAGCATCTAGCTTACAACCTTAGACAAATGGACAAAGAAACAGACATTCTCTTTAACAGATAGATAGTTCAGCTATAATTATGTTAAAATATAGTACATATACCATATATCTTGTAAAATATTACACTGATAATTCTACCATAATTCCCCAATGACAAACCTAAAAGTATACTAAATGATAATCTTACTTGAGTGAAATGTCATCCAGTTCTGACAATGTAAAGCTTTCATCCTTCCTTCTGCCGGAGTCTTTGATGGGCGGCAGGACGGAGAAGTTGTTGCCCCTGGCCCTTGCGTCCACCGGGGGTGCCGGAGGGGGCCTGGCCTGCGAGTACTGGACCCCGGGCCCTCCTGCCAGGGACGGAGGTGGTTGTGTCCTCTGCCTCAACAACAGAGGTACTCCGCTGGCCGACACCGCGTGTATGGTGGGGTGCGCCCTGTCCACCAACACCTTGCGGTTAGTCTCAGTCTTCTATATTATTGTTGACTAAACCACACACTAGAAAGTGAAGAGACGGCGACGTTTCGACTTGATAATGGTCCAGGACGGACCGAAACGTCGTCGTCTCTTCACTTTCTAGTGTGTGGTTTAGTCAACATTTTTCAGCCACGTTATTGTGACTCTTCATCTACTTCTATATTATTCATTACTGTATTCTCTTGCAGCAAGACATTAATGCGTTAAAAATTAATCCACGTTAATGCGCCGAAACAGGAAATTAGCAGCCTATTAGTCTCTGATTTTTGCCAATATTAATGTTCATTTATTTATAATTTTGTTAATATTAACGTCAAGGATAGGATGGATTAGGTGTTTTAGTTCTATTGGTAATTATGTAGAACGTGGAATCTATCAACAGTAATTATGCGGTGCCAACATACTGTAGATGTATATTGTACATACTGCAGATGTATACATGTATACTGTATATCTTTCAGTGTTCTTGCGAGTACAACAACGCGGTGCCGTTAATATAACAATGTGCAACTGTCATGTGCAGAAAATCGATAATAAGCAAAACAAAGCAATTGTAAATGTGCCCTGTATTATACATTTACGGTAATGGAAAAAAAAGTATAATTTTCCATTCTATAATACAACAACGGAATTTATTGATCATAATTCATGAGATTACATTCACTAAAGGTTTATTTTATATATTATTTCCGCACACAATGTTGGCGAGACACGCACACCCGGCTTATGTATATATACATATTATATATATTATATATATATATTATACTATATATATATATAGAAATATATATATATATATATATATATATATTATATAATATATATTATATATTTCATCTCGTTATATAATGTTTACAGATGACGGTTTATAGGATGGGTGTTGTCGCTATGATTTAAATAATTCATGACGTGTGTGTATGTGTGTTTGTGTATGTGTGTGTGTGTGTGTGTGTGTGTGTGTGTGTGTGTGTGTGTGTGTGTGTGTGTGTGTGTGTGTGTGTGTGTGTGTGTGTGTGTGTGTGTGAGTGTGAGTGTCGGAGAGTGAAAGGAACTACACGGTGACTGCTCCTCCTGCCCCCCCCCCCACCCCAATCCTTTCTTCCCCTTCTTCCTCCTTCCTTAATCTCCCTAATTCCCTCTAACCTCTCCTACCCTCCACAATTTCCCCCTCCCCTCGTCCCCCCATCCCAGGTCCTGCAGCAGGGGAGGATAGGAAGGTTAGGTGATCAATACCGTGGCATTTAGCAAGAAGATTCTCCTACGGGAGCAGTCTGATCTTCCACCGTGGTGCCTGTGTCCAGACCCCCACCCCTAGCCATGGCTTTCAAGTCACGGGTCACCCCTAGCCACGGCTCTCAAGTCACGGGTCATCCCTAGCCACGGCTCTCAAGTAACGGGTCACCCCTAGCCACGGCTATCAAGTAACGGGTCACCCCCTAGCCACGGCTATCAAGTCACGGGTCACCCCTAGCCACGGCTATCAAGTCACGGGTCACCCCTAGCCACGGCTCTCAAGTCACGGGTCACCCCTAGCCACGGCTCTCAAGTCACGGATCACCCCTAGCCACGGCTCTCAAGTCACGGATCACCCCTAGCCACGGCTCTCAAGTCACGGGTCACCCCTAGCCACGGCTCTCAAGTCACGGGTCACCCCTAGCCACGGCTCTCAAGTCACGGGTCACCCCTAGCCACGGCTCTCAAGTCACGGGTCACCCCTAGCCACGGCTCTCAAGTCACGGGTCACCCCTAGCCACGGCTCTCAAGTCACGGGTCACCCCTAGCCACGGCTCTCAAGTCACGGGTCACCCCTAGCCACGGCTCTCAAGTCACGGGTCACCCCTAGCCACGGCTCTCAAGTCACGGGTCACCCCTAGCCACGGCTCTCAAGTCACGGGTCACCCCTAGCCACGGCTCTCAAGTCACGGGTCACCCCTAGCCACGGCTATCAAGACACGTGTTGATCCCTAGTTAATCAAGGAACACGAAAGATGAAAACAGATGAATGATAGATGATGCATATATGACGACTCATCCTCCCACACCTCAGCACCAACGCTACAGACATCAGCGGCTATACTGCGGCGACATTAGTACAGTCTGACATCTCACTTTCTATACGCATGATCCGCCTAGTGACCTCTGACCTCCAAGTGGATTTCTCTAGGCTCGTAGGCTCATGATTAGCTAAAACTGCTTTAAATATGACGTATGTAACATCGTGATAACGGGGAATGAAGAACTGGAGAGGTAAAAGGAGAAAGGAGGTAAAAGAGAGAAAGGAGGCGAGAGAAATGTTTGAGACGCAGAGAAAGGAAAGAAAGGGTGAAAGTGATTTGGTTGACCTTGTGAGAAATCGACGAAGTCACTTTGTGACGGCAATAATGTCTCAAGCTGGAATGCGGTCAAGGAACACGTTCACACACACACACACACACACACACACACACACACACACACACACACACACACACACACACACACACACACACACACACACACACACACTCACACACACACAGGGCCTGAAAGCTGAGTGGACAGCGCTCTGTACTCGTAAATCTAGGGTCTGGGTTCCATCCCCGGAGATGGCAGAAACAAATGGGCAGAGTTTCTTTCAAACTGATGCTCCTATTCAACTAGCAGTTTCTGGGAGTTAGACAGCTGCTACGGGCTGTGTGTGTTAGAAATATATGATGTATAGAGAAAAAAATAGATTGGTTAGAAAGGCGGGGTCCAAGAGCTAATTGCGCGAATCTGTAGACACAAATAGTAAATACCAATAGCAAATACGCACGGCCGAGCGCACATACACAGGTGTGTGTGTGTGTGTGTGTGTGTGTGTGTGTGTGTGTGTGTGTGTGTGTGTGTGTGTGTGTGTGTGTGTGTAGTGCTAGGTGGTGGGGAAGAGAGCAATTAAGGGTCGAAAATACATAGTTAAAATATACTTCACAAGTCCGTAGAGTTTACATATTTTTCATCAAAAAATTAACCTTCTTTGCCGTAAAATAATATACAAACATTAATGATTGTGATATACTTGTATTGTGATTTTCTAGATTATTTAAAACGATACAGAACAAGTCACATTATGAAATAACAAATGCAGCCGAAGGAAGGCAAATATATTTGTTAATAGTTTGAGAAGAATGAGGCAAAAGACCTCAGCTCACTAATGGAGATATTGGTCAGTTCTTTTAATAAGAGGATTGTGCTGGTGATGATTAGCAAGGAGCCAATGATGAGCATGGAGCCAATGATGAGCAAGGAGCCAATGATGAGCATGGAGCCAATGATGAGCAAGGAGCCAATGATGAGCAAGGAGCCAATGATTAGCAAGGAACCAATGATGAGCAAGGAGCCAATGATGAGCAAGGAGCCAATGATGAGCAAGGAGCCAATGATGAGCAAGGAGCCAATGATGAGCAAGGAGCCAATGATGAGCAAGGAGCCAATGATGAGCAAGGAGCCAATGATGAGCAAGGAGCCAATGATGAGCAAGGAGCCAATGATGAGCAAGGAGCCGGTGATTAGCAAGGAGCCATACCCAAGACAAGCAGCAGCACATACAATAACATCTTCAGGTTACTGAGCATTACCTCTAAGGATTAACCACAAGTGCAGCTTATCTTACACCCAAGCTTTGCGCGGGTAAAGCCACACTGAGTGTTTTCTCAACCTACTTACACATTCAACACAATCTGGAATCAAACTAAGCGACGAATAAGACCATTTTTTGACGCAAGAAAGATTATGAACACCTTCTCTTAGATGGCATTAGAAACATAGTACAGAACCGCATCTCCAGAGGTCCCCTCAGACCCACATCACCATACACAGTGCTGGAGGTGACGAGAGAACAGCATTCGGGAACCTTCTTGAGGTTATCTTGAGATGATTTCGGGGCTTTAGTGTCCCCGCGGCCCGGTCCTCGACCAGGCCTCCACCCCCAGGAAGCAGCCCGTGACAGCTGACTAACTCCCAGGTACCTATTTACTACTAGGTAACAGGGGCATTTAGGGTGAAAGAAACTTTTGCCCATTTGTTTCTGCCTCGTGCGGGAATCGAACCCGCGCCACAGAATTACGAGTCCTGCGCGCTATCCACCAGGCTACGAGGCCCCAGGCTACGTTCACCTTACCGTGAAGGCTTTCACAGTGCACAGTATACGTGTCCAACCAGTGGCAGAATATACGACGCCACAGTGACGCACCTGTGAGGTACAGGTGTATAATATTGTAATAATGAAAGAAGATTACATCAAAAGTAATACAGGGAAATGTATTACGGGGGGAGGGGGGGGGGGTAGTGTATTACAATATACAACATTGCCTCATTTGTAAATTCGAATGTACAAAGTTTGTCGTCGTTATTTTAGATATTTTAGTTACTAACAGACTTACAGCCAGCTGCCCCCCCCCCTGGCTGACAGACTTATAGCCAACTGTCCCCCCTCCCCTTGGCTGACAGTCATGATATTAAAATATTTAGACTTACATCCATCAATGTGACGGCATTTATGGCCTCTTATACAGCTTCGGTATAAGGACACACGGGTGGCCCCCTGGTCTAGGTGGCCCTGGTCCAGGTGGCCCCTGGCCCGGGTGGCCCCTGGCCCGGGTGGCCCCTGGTAAAGGTGGCCCTGGCCCAGGTGGCCCCTGGCCCAAGTACATGGCCAGGAAACAACATTAACCAGATCTGTTGTTTTGATGAATACGTTCAGTATATATAGGAAGTTGTAAATTAAGGATAATGTGTTTGTGAAGAATATTCAGGTTATTCTTATTATGCGTAACTGTCTCCCTCACGATAAATTAGTTAGTCCCAAGCTGGCCACTAACTGTACCAGAGTTAGTAGTTTATATCTATAAAATAGAATGCCTGTCTGGCTGTCGAAGGGTGGAGGTTATCTTGAGATGATGATTTCGGGGCTTTAGTGTCCCCGTGGCCCGGTCCTCGACCAGGCCTCCACCCCCAGGAAGCAGCCCATGACAGATGACTAACACCTAGGTACCTTGACCAGACCACACACTAGAAGTTGAAGGGACGACGACGTTTCGGTCCGTCCTGGACCATTCTCAAGTAGATTCTCAACCAATCGACTTGAGAATGGTCCAGGACGGAACGAAACGTCGTTGTCCCTTCAACTTCTAGTGTGTGGTCTGGTCAACATACTTCAGCCACGTTGTGACTCATCGCCTGCACCTAGGTACCTATTTTACTGCTAGGTAACAGGGGCATAGGGTGAAAGAAACTCTGCCCATTGTTTCTCGCCGGGGAATGCTTAGGGCTAGCCTCACGAAGCTCTGCAAGGTGAATTGTAATTGAATGTAGAGTGGCATAGGGGGGTTGTCAGGGTCGAGCCCCTCTTTAAGAAGAACCAGCACCTCTTCCAAACCCCATTCACTCCTATGAAGTCTAAAAGGAGATTTTCAACAGTTTTTCCAACTGTTCATAATATCCTAATAGCGTAACTACAACATTATAATAACGTTGTAACAACCTTGTTTAACAACGTTGCACTAAACTATTGTAGAAATAACTTTGTGGTTGTGCAGTGTGTTAGCTGGGATTGTATGCTCAGAGAGGGAGAGTTATAAAATTTTACCTTTAAAAAAAATCAAAGGTAAAACTTTAACCTTTCGTATTTGTTTAGGTAAATGCCCCTACGATGCAAGAGGGAAATATATATATATAGCAGGGGGGATAGGGGAGACGTCTCCCCTTCCCCCTTTTTACAATAGGGGGGGGGGGAAGGAGAGACGCCAGGGGGGGGGGAGGTCCACATTCTTGGGCATGGTGTAGCAATATCGATTTCCATTGAAACTACTGTGTGTATAGCAACAGGTGTGGTGTGTATATATGGCGTCATGTGTGTTGCTACTGGTGTTGTATGTTGTATGAGTCTGGTGTTGTATGCGTCTGGTGTTGTATGAGTCTGGTGTTGTATGCGTCTGGTGTTGTATGTTGTATGCGTCTGGTGTTGTATGTTGTATCCGTCTGGTGTTGTATGTTGTATCCGTATGGTGTTGTATGCGCGTCGCTACTGGTGATGTAAGCGCGTCGCTACTGGTGTTGTATGTACCTTGTACCGTTAGGAATAACGGTACAAGGCGTGGGAATAGACTAACGGTAAAATCATACACAAGATAGTTAGCCAAAGCTCGTATTATGATGAATAAATCCACAAGGGCCGTTATGAGGGCTCGAACTTACGTCCAGGATGATCCCAGAAGCTCCTTAATCGACTGAGCCACGACAGGGTATAAGAATTGCAACCGGGATTGCTACTGCTCTCACACTCTTAATCGCAGTCGATTAGGGCGCGTCTGGGATCATCCTGGACGTAAGTTCGAGCCCTCATAACGGCCCTTGTGGATATATTCATTTGATATATCACGCTATTGTGATTTCTGTGTGCATTCTCGTATTATGATGGTCAAATCCGTATATACCTTGAGGCTTTGTTGTATTAGCGAAGCCTGTGTAAGGCTCGGCTGGGTTAAGTTAGCCTTGTTTGGTCTAAGTTAGGCTAGGTTAGGTTAGGTTAGGCTAGGCAAGGTTAGGTTAGGTTAGGCTAGCCTAACCTAACCTAGGTTAGGCTAGCCTAACCTAACCTAGGTTAGGCTAGGTTAGGCTAGCCTAACCTAACCTAGGTTAGGCTAGGTTAGGTTAGGTTAGGTTGGGTGAGGTGAGGTTGGGTTGGGTGAGGTTAGGTGAGGTGAGGTTAGGTTAGGTTAGGTTAGGCTAGCCTAACCTAACCTAACCTAGGTTATGCTAGGTTAGGCAAGGTTAGGTTGGGTGAGGTTGGGTGAGGTGAGGTTAGGTAGGTTTTAAAATCACTTCGCGAACAGTACATGTGTGGGATGTGTATCAGTGGAAATACCTCCCGGACGTCAGTACTGGTGGTAGGGGAAGAAACTCCCGGAAGATGTGGGGAAAAAAAGCACTGATTAAGTTATATACAAGCAGCAATATGTTAATTACAAAACTATAATACAGAGAGATAGTGACTTAACTGTAACTGGCGCGGGTAGTTGTGATCGCGAGTCACTACAGCACAGCACATGGTGCCTTTTTCACACTACTAGCTCTCTGCTCCACCCATCCTCATGGGCACATATATAAATATATATATATATATATTTATTTTCCACCCCCACAAGGATGTAGTGTATGGTTAGGCAGGACCTGGCCCCCCGAAGTCAGGTCCAGCCAGACATGTCTACGGTGATGGTTAGTGGTCTAGATGGTCACTACGGGTCGCCGCCTGGCACTCTGGCAGTGCCATCGCTGGTGGTGGTGTGTCAGGCACTGCTGCTGCTTGTCCCCTTGTGACGTTATGTCGATTGTTCACTAGTTTATATCTTCACAACTTTTACAGCTCACATACTTGCAAAACCCACCAAAAAAGTAATTTCAATTAATGTCTGCAATTTTCAGTATTTTATTGTTCAAGTTTGTTTTTTAAATATGAGATAAGCATCGTAACGATTTATCTTCAACTTCTAATAAAGAATGTTAGTTCTTCTAATGTTAATCTTCTAATTCAACTTCTAATGTTATCTATCAACTATTTTTCTATCCGTTCATTGTTCACACTACAGTGTCTGCGTATGTTAGTGTGGCCACATTAACAGATGGTCTTACTATGTAATTCCTTAACCAGTCTGCTGTTATCGGCGACACCAACACTGTTATCTCGTCTCCAACCTGTACCACCCTGCGAGGCCTCTGTCTGCAGCACATCTCAACCTTGTCTGCTGAGCGTGTCCCAGGCGAAGCTTGGTGTGTGTGTGTGTGTGTGTGTGTGTGTGTGTGTGTGTGTGTGTGTGTGTCAGGTATGGGGGGGTGATATCGCTGGCGCCACACGCCATCTACCGGCCGCTTTCCTAACTACAAATGCAAAAAGATTCCCATTTTTGCGGGTAACAATGTTTGCGATTTATCAAACGCGTTCAGCTATTACACACTTGTAATAGTTTGTGTGCACTTAAATTTTTATGTTCACTAATTTTGGGAATGTTTGGCATTAGTGTCTTATTTGTATCCGCAGCAAGGGATATATAAAATAAAAAAGAATGAAAATTAGCACCCACATTATACAAATTGTACATTGCCAATATGTCCTCAGATAAACAATGGTGATTTTTATTATTCATGCCCGGTTTTTATACTACTACGTTACCCTATGGTTTTATCTCTAGTGTTCTCTTGTTAATTTAGGTCATAAAAAGTGATAATTTACGACTACAGTATAATGATTACAAGGAGGTTATTGGGCGGGGTAATAAGACCTTATTTCCTCACAGTCACTGTCAGGTAAGCACTGTGGAAGACATCTTCCCCCAGACTGTGAGCGTCCTGTGTTTACATGACGTCATAAGCGCGTGGCATAGCAACCGCTTAGCAACGCTCCCCGGGGCGCGCTACAACTCTGGACTTTCACCCTCACTGACTCGTAACATAAGCACCAGCCATTCTTCTCACGGCAGCGTAAACAATGAAAGTGGGAATATATATCTCTACATCAACAATAAGTACACTTCAGCGTTCATAGACTTATTTATTTATATATAAAATTTATTTATTTTATTTTATTTTTATTTACTTGCAACTACAGTAGTTCATCAATGCTGTGTAAACTGAGATTCAATTTCTAAGTCAATCACTATATGTGCCTCTGCAACCTTTCCACCACCACTCACAGGATGAGTATGAACTGTATAATACGTGAATAAAACTAATAAAAAGATTCAAGCATCTCTGTTTAGGAGTTTAAGTCGAAATCATAAGATTAACATAATTTCCTGCTGGGTCAGACTGTGACCTGCTTAGTTAAACGAATTACGGGGGTCAGCTCCTGAGCACATTATGTGCCTCTATGACCTCTTTCAACTACCGCCCACGGGGGCGAGCGTGGTCCGCTGCCGCCCACGGGGGCGAGCGTGGTCCGCTGCCGCCCACGGGGGCGAGCGTGGTCCGCTGCCGCCCACGGGGGCGAGCGTGGTCCGCTGCCGCCCACGGGGGCGAGCGTGGTTGACTAACACCCACGGGGTGAGTATGGTCCATTACTACCACTGTTAAAGGTGAAAAGCAGCCGGTGTTGTATTTCCACCTCTGCGGGATGTGCAGCTTTACAAGACTTAATTCATAGCATAATGGTTTTTATTAAATTAGTTCATTATCAAGACGGAGATAATTATAGAAGCTTCCCATTGATTTTGTGTCTGTAACACGTCATGTGATCGGCGAAGCAGTGTGTGTACTCACCTAATTGTACTCACCTAATTGTGCTTGCGGGGGTTGAGCTCTGGCTCTTTGGTCCCGCCTCTCAACCGTCAATCAACTGGTGTACAGATTCCTGAGCCTATTGGGCTCTATCATATCTACATTTGAAACTGTGTATGGAGTCAGCCTCCACCGCATCACTTCCTAATGCATTCCATTTACTAACTACTCTGACACTGAAAAAGTTCTTTCTAACGTCTCTGTGGCTCATTTGGGTACTCAGCTTCCAAATGTGTGTGTGTGTGTGTGTGTGTGTGTGTGTGTGTGTGTGTGTGTGTGTGTGTGTGTGTGTGTGTGTGTGTGTGTGTGTGTGTGTGCGTGTGTGCGTGTGTGCGTGTGTGCGTGTGTGCGTGTGTGCGCGTGTGTGTGTGTGTGTGTGTGTGTGGTGTCTGTGTCCATTTTCCTAACAGCTCTCACCAAAACAGTTATCAGGACCAAGCTTCAGTTCCTGGGTACCACCTTTTCCGTCTACCTGTCACATAATGTGATGACTCTCCCTCCCACTGTTCCGTGTCATGTGTGCTTGTAAAACTATTAAAGCTAGTGGCTCAGGTTATTTACTTCTATTTACTAACTACTATTTCAGCTAAGAAATGTTCCCTCGCATCCTTATGGCTTATATAGTGTCTTAGTTCCTATGGCGTTCTCTCGATGTACTGCTGATCAGCCTAAACATTATTGTATCGATATCCCCGAGTATTTTGTATGTATGGAACACGTTCCTTCAACTTATCTTTTCTACAGGTATCATTAGGTTTAGTTCCCCAAGCCTATCCGTATTCCTCAGGCTTCTCAATTATCAGATTAATTTCGATGTTCGTTTTGTGCTTTTCCAGGTGGGGTTCCAGGCAGGTCCTGGAGACTCCAGGACTGGTGGGACACTTGGTACACACACGACGCGCTGAAGCTTCCAGGTTTGGGTTCCACGGGACAGATTCACGAAGCAGTTATGCAAGCACTTACGAACCTGTACATCTTTTCTCAATCTTTGGCAGAGTTGTTTACAATTATTAAACATTTAATGAGCTCCGAAGCACCAGGAGGCTGTTTATAACAATAACAGTTGATTGAGGAATAACAGTCAAAGATTCAGAAAAGATGTACACGTTCGTAAGTTCTTGCGTAACTGCGTCGTGAATCTGGCCCCTGGGCACTCCCCCTCGTGCTCGCCAGCTTAACATAAGCTGCGGATATGAGTCCAGTTGTGGAAGCTTTAGTTTGACCCACGCTTGCAGGTTCCTGCCTTTTATTACCCATTGCTTCTCTTATCTCCTTATGCCTACATGTGCGTGAATGTGTGTGTGAATCCGTGCTTGTGTACGCATGTGTGTACGTGCGTACCTGCGAGCTAGCGTGCTCGTTTGCTCTTTCATTAATATTTCAAGTTAACGCACATTGTTTAGAATTGTTCAAAATTCTGCCGTGCACAGCCATTGAGGCCTAAATGTATTTGTCTATATATTCCAATATATTTGTGTGTGTGTGTGTGTGTGTGTTTACTAGTTGTGTTTTTGCGGGGGTTGAGCTTTGCTCTTTCGGCCCGCCTCTCAACTGTCAATCAACTGTTTACTAACTACTTTTTTTTCCACACCACACACACACACACACACACCCCAGGAAGCAGCCCGTGACAGCTGACTAACTCCCAGGTACCTATTTACTGCTAGGTAACAGGGACACTTAGGGTGAAAGAAACTTTGCCCATTTGTTTCTGCCTCGTGCGGGAATCGAACCCGCGCCACAGAATTACGAGTCCTGCGCGCTATCCACCAGGCTACGAGGCCCCATGTGTGTGTGTGTGTGTGTGTGTGTGTGTGTGTGTGTGTGTGTGTGTGTGTGTGTGTGTGTGTGTGTGTGTGTGTGTGTGTGTGTGTGTTTTCGGGCGTTTTTCTCTACTAAGTGATGTGCTAGTGATGAGAGATAATAGTGAGGAGAGACAATGCTGGTGTTGTTAAGGGTGAGGAACACAAGAGCAGTCATATACTTACCCAAACCGCCATTCCACTATGCGCTTTCCTCCCCGGATCTTCACATCGTACATAGGAATGAACCGCTTTGGCATCCCTGGGTCACGTGATCATCGCGTCACATGTGAAGATCAGCAGTTGTAGCATCGCTCGGTCATGACGTCATTATGACGTCAGAATATAGAACCAATAACTGAGGCACAACTGGGTCACGTGATCATGCCGTCCAACGGCAATGGCTGGCGCAGTTCGATTGCGTAATAATGACGTCATATCTGGAGAATTGTCGGATATTGACTTCAGGTGGTGATGTCATGCATGGTAATTAGTCGGAGCTGTATATATTTTGATCATATGAGGATGGCGCAGTGTTCGGTGAGTCGCCATGACGATATCAGCTGACCAGAGGCATGACATGACAGATGGGGCCTTGAGTGGTGACGTCACACTGACCAACGGCATGACATGACAGCTGGGCCGTGAGTGGTGACGTCACACTGACCAACGGCATGACATGACAGCTGGGCCTTGAGCGGTGACGTCACACTGACCAGAGGCATGACATAACAGGTGGGCCTTGAGCGGTGACGTCACACTATGCGGTGGCAGCGTCCCCGCAGCAACACGTCTGCAACATAAGGGATAAATGCAAGATGAGTTGCCCTTGATGAGCTTTTAGTCATGAGCGTTGATGATTTTAGTGTGTGTGTGTGTGTGTGTGTGTGTGTACATAGTGTAATGCTTGTTGGGTCGAGCGTCAGCTCTTAATCCCCGCCTTTTGTGTTCTCGGTCACCAGCTTCCCATAATTTGTTATTATGTAATCACAACTGCTTATGGAGGTGTGAATGGTGTTATCCCCATGTACTTCCTCACCTAACTCCTACTTGTTTACTGCTCTCACGCTCTAGGCGCTTCTCTGCATTCTTGTGTGACATCTTCGTCTCAGGCTTCCACCCATGCCCACTGACTCCTCAGTTTCTCATTCAAAACAACTTATTATAGAGACAAATCACTGTCTATACCGTGCTACCTCTTGGGTGGCTTAATCTTTATCAATCAATCAATCTTTGGACACATTCACGGGAGACATCTCCCGTCACGCAGGGTGCAGTCGCACCTCCACAGATCTCAAGTATCATCTATTGATACTGGTAATGGCTCAAAAGGGCCACCACTTACGGGCTATTCATGCCCGTGCCACCTTTTAGGTGGCTTAATCTTCATCAATTATCAATCTGTCTATACCGATATGGCCACTTGTTCCTGCTCGAACACGTCTTGAGTTAAGGACTATCCTGGGGGACTGATTCCTGCTGACCACGATCCTCTCCATTACTTCTGTGGACTAAAAACGTCATTAGCAAGACAGAAACTACACAGGGATCAAATATAATGACAGCCATTCACAGGGGAATAAAAAATGTGATCGGGTTCACTCAATAGATGGCGTTGACATCGTCACCTCCCTCAACAGAGGGCGTTGTCGTCGACCCACCTCCTAAGCGAATTGTGGTCGGTAGTGCTCCACAGATGTCGTGGATATCGTCACACTTCACTCCACAGATGGCGTCGATATCGTCGCAAGGTGGATTAGTCTTCATCATCATTATTATTATAAGTCAATGTTGGCCAAGAGGGGAGGAGTTGGGGAACCACTTCCAGTGAGCTTCCAGTTGTGGCCCGAGATCTCTTGACCCGCTGCTCCAGGCTGCGCGCGCCTCAAGTCATTGTTCCCGCCACCACAGTGTATCTCATTTCTTATAATGTTCTCAATTGCAGCTATTTCTCCACAAGATCCACCCAACAAATATGTGTGTATTCATACACATGCGTTTAACCCTAGTCTTTGTCAATGTTGGACGTCTGTGTTCAGCTTTAGTTTGTAATGAACACATCGGGTAAAAGATGGAAGGTTTCCGCGCTGTCCAGTGACGCCTCCATGTTTCACTTGTTATTTGACTTTCTTCGCCGTCTTCATATTTTATGTTTTTATTTTATTTATATATATACAAATCTTTTAAAGCTACTAGTACGCGCAGCGTTTCGGGAATATATTTCATTTGTCCTTCAATTACTATGTATGTATCTTTGGTGATTACTTTGATTATTGATACAGCATGTTGTGTCATAACAACATCCATTGACACATGTGTTAATGGATGTTGTTCCATTTCCTTTCCTCCTTCCTTTCCGCCTTGTTATCTGGGATCATGTTTGTAAAAGTGTCCAAGATTGTTTCTCTCTCCTCTCCCTTATTTCTTCCCCTAAATCCTGCTTTATTTATCTCTCATTCTTGCTTTCTTATCCATTCTTCCATTTCGTTAAATCTGTTTTGCCCTTCTTGCGTTACCAGTTCCCTTTCTTTACTTCATTTGTCAACCTTTGTTTTTTTTATCATCTGTTTAGTCCCCCTTTCATGCATTTCTTTCGTTTTCTATTGCCTCGTCACTTGACAATTGTGTCTGTAACTGTTGTGTTGACAGACATCTCAAACAGAAAACGGAACAGTACGTTACTTTTGTGAGTCGATTTCATTTCAAATTACGTCCAAATTTAGACGTAGCGCGCATACCAGCCAAAAGTGACGTTATTTTTAAGAGGACGGGCTGAACATCAACGGTGCTCACCTAATGTCTCCCATCTTTAAGTGATTTCTGGCTTATTCTTCGAATATTCTATTTCAACCTGGTGCCTCATTTTATAACATTCCTTTACCCCATCTTCCCCATGACACCCCCACCGTCCCCATTCCCCTTGTTCCTCTCTTCGTCACCCCCCCCTTCTTCCTCCCCCCATCCCCCTTTCTCCCCATTCTCACAGAAAATGTGTTATTGAGAAGCACTGAAACAACTATACGGGTCTCAGAAAATATTATTACGATCATGTAAAACTCTATGGGAAGCACACCATATATTTCACACCTAACTCCATAAAAATCCCATAGGAGTGTTTATAATCACTAATATTTCTTTAAAAAATTAACTTAAGACCGTCCCGCACCCGAGACCATAATAGCTGAGCATTTGGGTGAGACTAGCCCCAAGCATCTGGCCTCCACCTTTGGATAGACAGATAGACATTCTCTCTTATAGTATAGATATGTTTAATGGGTGTCATGCGTGACACAATTTAGATGGACATAAATTTAGTGGTCTGAATACTTAGAACATGATTACCGCTATGCGTACTGTAGGCCGCAAAATTATATTTATAAAACAACTTAAACAAACTTTATTGTATATTAATAATTTTTTTCACCGGGTATTTTTTCGGGGGGCCTCGTAGCCTGGTAGATAGCGCGCAGGGCTCGTAATTCTGTGGCGCGGGTTCGATTCCCGCACGAGGCAGAAACAAATAGGCAAAGTTTCTTTCACCCTGAATGCCCCTGTTACCTAGCAGTAAAATAGGTACCTGGGTGTTAGTCAGCTGTCACGGGCTGCTTCCTGGGGGTGGAGGCCTGGTCGAGGACCGGGCCGCGGGGACACTAAAACCCCGAAATCATCTCAAGATAACCTCAAGATAACCCCCCAACCAGTGCGTCTCAGAGAATTGCCTGGCGGGCCCATCACATGTTTTCCAAGGATCCAAAGCCCAACCACCGTAAGCACAATTAGGTGAGTATAGGCATGACAACTGCTCTATTAGCATGAGGGTAATATTAGCATTTTAATCAAGCCAATTTATTCATTAAGTCTAATGTAAACATAACCTCAGCTCAGTAAATGTGAGGCGGGCCATGAAGTCTTGGAATCAGTAAGTTTGTGACCTCAACTCAGGAAAGTTGGGAACCAATACGGCAGAGCATCTCATAGCTGTTGATTACTGTGTTCTATACAGATCTATTCTCTATCACATGAGGTAAGGCCGTCTACGTCAAGGGAACACAATATCTCTAACCCTAGCTTCCTGAGTTGGATCTTCACGTTCCTCGTAATCTTAAAGCAACACCATTTATATGCTGAAGTTTCTTAAGCTTTTCAAATAAGAAACATTACTCGTACCATTTTGCTGCGGAATATAGCCTGGTGAGCTGTAACTCTAGTCATATCACACAGTTTAATTGTCACTTCCCGGAAGTTAATGTTTTATACTGAATTCTTGAGGTTATCTTGAGATGATTTCGGGGCTTTAGTGTCCCCGCGGCCCTGTTTGCGACCAGGCCTCCACCCCCAGGAAGCAGCCCCTAGCAGCTGTTTAACTCCCAGGTACCTATTTACTGCTAAGTATGAATGTTCACACTTCGCATCTGTCTGTGATAATGTGCTAGTAAGGGAGCTGCCTACTATTTAGTTTTGTTTTTTCAATTTTATTAATTAATTTAGATGTTTAATTACACACTTAGCACTTGATATGTTTTCCGCCTGTTTCGTGAGATACAATGATGAGGAGCAGGGGCCAGATTCACGAAGCAGTTACGCAAGTACTTACGAACGTGTACATCTTTCCTCAATCTTTGACGGCTTTATTTACATTTATTAAACAGTTTACAAGCATGAAAACTTGCCAATCAACTATTCTTATTGTTATAAACAGCCTCCTGGTGCTTTGGAGCTCATTAATTGTTTAATAATTGTAAACAAAGCCGTCAAAGATTGGGAAAAGATGGACAGGTTCGCAAGTGCTTGCGGAACTGCTTCGTGAATCTGGCCCCCAGGCTCCTGCGGGTACAGTTTTCTTGAAGAGATTGTCAGTGTTATGGTGTTGAGGTCTGTCAACCACCAGAAGAACATTAGTCACTCTAAGACCTCGCTGAGTATCCAGAATGTATAATTCTTTATTCCTGAACATAGTTCAGATCTAAGATAAACTCTATGTATGTAAATATACATAGAGAAGTGAGGTACACTTCAGGGTGTATAATTTCCCCTTTTGCGTCAGTTATGGAAGGTGTTGGGATCAATGACACCCCCTACCTCCCCCCTCCCACCCACACACACACACACACACACACACACACACACACACACACACATCCTGGGAATGTCGACCACGATGCCTGCTTGTGTATTGATGCAGGAGGAAGGAGGTCGTTGTTATCATTTGTTCACCCGAGCAACACATTTGTGTCTCCCAAGTTACGCAGCGTCGGGTGTCGACTTAACACTTGGATAAAATTATATAAAATAAAATGATTATTATAACACGTGGATAAAATTACAAACTAATTCCTGGTCTTGACATGAGGGTTCAACGACCCTCTGGAGTGACCCATTTACCAGAGTATTGTAATTATTGGGGTTTCATCACTGATATATGCACGAATAAAACAACCAATATTACACTGAGATTCTAAGATCAATATGAATGGTTCACACCATTAAAACAAAAAAACATAAACGCAAAATCGATACATCATTGTGAATATTATGACCAAATGTTTTTAGTATGGCCCGCTGACCCGCTAACTATCCTAGGAAGAAACATTTCTGAATAATTAAAAGCACTTTGAGTGGGATTGGGTGGTTATTAATAGGAGCTGCCTCGTATGGACCAATAGGCCTTCTGCAGTCACCTTGTTCTTATATTCTTATGTTCACTAGCTGACAACTGACGTGTGAGCGGTAACTACTGTGTAGTCGAGACTCCAGGTTGACCTTTGACGACGACTGGACGTCTGGACACTTCCTCCGCCTTGGGGCACCAGATCATGTCCCTTTGGTGTCTCGATACTGCCGTCAGGCACTCACGGTCCTCACTGTTAACAACGGCCCGGACTGCTGCCACACCTGGCGGCGCACTTATCGCCTGGGGTCACAGGCAAGTTAATAGACTGTTAATGTTTTCTGGCTTGTTCTTCGGGCAGGGAGACGGTGTCCGGCGCCGGCTTGGCCGAGAGGTGCAGGTAGATGACGTCTTGGGGTCAGGGTCAAGCTCATATTAACACCTCAACCACTCAAGTGATTAATGAATTAAGTGATTCTCACTTTACAACAAAATTAAAAAAAATAGGTTCTTGTTGGTTTGATCTAGAGTAAATAGGTTTGCGTGTGGAGGGTGAAGGGGGCGCGTACTGTGTGTCCTAGATAACACCGGACATGAATTGACGTGGTGTTCGATATTGGCGGCGGGTGATCAACCATCGCGTGCACTCCAAGTGCCAACTGGCCATGAACGTGTTATTAAGCAGACCAAGACGAAGCCTGGCTCAAGCAGACGAAGCCTGGCTCAAGCAGCAGAGTTACCACCACTAATTTCACGGCTATCAACTTAGGATACAGAGGCCAGATTCACGAAGTAGTTACGCAAGTACTTACGAACGTGTACATCTTTCCTCAATCTACGACGGCTTTGGTTACATTTATTAAACAATTTATAAGCATGAAAACTTCCCAATCAACTGTTGTTATTGTTATAAACAGCTTCCTGGTGCTTCAGAGCTTATTAACTGTTTAATAATTGTAAACAAAGCCGACAAAGATTGAGAACAGATGTACAGGTTCGTAAGTGCTTGTGTAACTGCTTCGTGAATCAGGCCAGTGACCAAAACATGCTGGCGCTTCAGCTGTTCGAAACCTTGTAAATGTATGACTACCACACACTGGTATTCAATACATGTATAGAATCTAAGCATTACTGCAGATAATTGTACACAAAATTTGCAGTTGTGCCTTAAATCATTTAGAGCTCTTGGCATGTATCAGTCCCTGTGCCGTACGGCGCCCCATACTTATGTGTATATCGTTTAGCCCGGAGGGGAGGGAATTATCAGGGAGAAAGAGCCAAGCCATTACGACTCTATAGCACTTGGAAGACAACCCATCCTCGACTCAAGTCCATTACATTCAGCGGTCAACCCCACAGACGCATTCATAAATTTTAACATGCTGTTCATTCAAAACGGGAATTTTCTCAAGTATAAATTAATATTATAATATATTAGGATATTGTTTATAAATAGGCATAGGTTAGGTTAGGTTAGGTGTTTAGGTTCTGTTGGCGATTATTTGTATTTGTAGTACGTGGGTGAAGCATTTATAGCGTTGTGATTCGAACAAAATTCGTCCGTGAAGCACTTGTTCCGGATATGTTCGAACGTCAGCAGTTGTGAATCGTGTATAAACCTTTTTTTTCATTCATAAACAGGGGGTTTGGCGGGTGCATGGAATCACTTTTGGATCTTTGTTTGGAGGACGGGCTGTGCAAGGGATTGAACGCCGACCTGCATGAAGCGAGACCGTTGCTTCAAGCAGGTCGGCGCTTCAAGTTTAGCCCGGACTTGAAAGTTGGTGAGTAAATTAGGTTTTAGGCCATAATAGCTCTCCAAGTGGTGAGAGCCTTAAGCCCAACACCGAACATAAAGGAGTATTTCTGGAGAGCTCAGCCGCGTCTCCCTCGCTAATTATATCGTTTTCCGATTGGCCGAATTAGCCTGACAAGAAATGTTAAGTTATGGGGGCTAAATTTACTCCATAATTATAAATGATTTATTTGTCAGCCTATACTGAGCCCGCGTTGATGTGCTTCAGCACTTGGGTTCCGCCTACATTCGTTCACGTTATGGTACAAGCTATACCTGGTTGATACCTGGTTGATGGGGTTCTGGGACTTCTACTCCCCAAGCCCGGCCCGAGGCCAAGCTTGACTTGTGAGAGTTTGGTCCACTAGGCTGTTGCTTGGAGCAGGATTTCCCTATGGAAATGGAAATTCCCCTATGGAACCGCTTGGGTTCTGTTGTTACATACTTGTGTAACTATGAATGAAGTGTGTCACCACTACTTAACTCTGATCCTTGCCACTTCTTCACTACTCCAAAACTGAGCATCTTGTCCTTCGTGTCCCTACAGCACATCTGAGACAGTCACCACACACCACCCACGTTATCTCTGTATGGGATGCTGAACTTTTGCCCTTATCTGGCGGCTTTTTTAGTGTTGTTATAGATTCAGCTACTCGGAACAAGTTCCAAGTAGCACGGGCTATGGTGAGCCCGTAACTTACCTGGCACAGGAGCGGGGCAAGTAGCACGGGCTATGGTGAGCCCGTAACTTACCTGGCACAGGAGCGGGGCAAGTAGCACGGGCTATGGTGAGCCCGTAACTTACCTGGCACAGGAGCGGGGCAAGTAGCACGGGCTATGGTGAGCCCGTAACTTACCTGGCACAGGAGCGGGGCAAGTAGCACGGGCTATGGTGAGCCCGTAACTTACCTGGCACAGGAGCGGTGCCTGCGCTTTTTCCGTATTTACTATACACTATATACTATAGTTTGCCTCTGTTTCTGTCCTTGGGAACTTAGCCTGTATCTGTGCCATTATTTGGTACCTCCCACACCGCCTGACAACTGGGTGGACAGCGCTTCGGATTCACAGTCCTGAGGTTCCGGGTTCGATCCCCAGTGGAAGCGGAGACAAATGGGCAAAATGTTTCTTTCACCCTGATTCCCCTCTTACCTAGCAGTAAATAGATACCTGGGAGTTAGACAGCTGCTACGGGTTGCTTCCTGGGGGGGAAGGGGTGTAACAAAAAGGAGGCCTGGTCGAGAACCGGGCCGCAGAGACGCTAAACCCCAAAATCATCTCAAGATAACCTCAAGATAACACCAGTTACTCCGTTTGCTTTATTATTTCATCGTATTAAGTCCGGTGTGTTCACGGTAAACCTTTCTTCTTCCCTTCAATGACGTGACGCTCAACTGCTTTAATGTCTTAATAACTTCTTTCTTTCAGTTTCACGAAAGGTATTCAAGAATATACAGAGTTCTGAATAATTCTCGGTCGTATTTCTAAAGCAAATTCTTACATTTCTTTGCCAGTGACGTTACCCAGTTTATATTGTTACAGCCGGATGGGTTTTTTCAGACTCTATTTGTCCCTCTTCTGGCGTTATCTTGAGGTTATCTTGAGGTTATCTTGAGATGATTTCGGGGCTTTAGTGTCCCCGCGGCCCGGTCCTCGACCAGGCCTCCACCCCCAGGAAGCAGCCCGTGACAGCTGACTAACACCCAGGTACCTATTTTACTGCTAGGTAACAGGGGCATAGGGTGAAAGAAACTCTGCCCATTGTTTCTCGCCGGCGCCTGGGATCGAACCCAGGACCACAGGATCACAAATCCAGCGTGCTGTCCGCTCGGCCGACCGGCTCCCAACGACCGGCGTCACTTAACTTCACAAATGATACCCTGGTCGTGGACCACTTTACCCTAGCACCCATCTTAATTAATTACCTTGCGCTGACTCGAGATGAATTCCAGCAGCCACTTGTCATTCCATTTCGGCAGTTTGTCCAAGTCAGCCGAGAGTGGTTTGGAGCCGTCCACCAGCCGTGTTGTCTTCATCGTTTCACGCGACATCTGCAAACATCATTAAAGAGACATTAAACATTAAGCAAATATCATTAAAGAGAGTCTCACCTTCGGTACACCGTATAAACACATAACATTAGGATGTGTTCAATGAGTTTGAACATCCTAATTAGAACAATAGGATGTGTTCAATGGGTTTGTACATCCTAATTAGAACAATAGGATGTGTTCAATGGGTTTGTACATCCTAATTAGAACAATAGGATGTGTTCAATGGGTTTGTACATCCTAATTAGAACATTAGGATGTGTTCAATGAGTCTGAACATCCTAATTAGAACAATAGGATGTGTTCAATGAGTCTGAACATCCTAATTTAGAACAATAGGATGTGTTCAATGGGTCTGAACATCCTAATTAGACCAATAGGATGTGTTCTGCGCTGTTTGCTTTTCGAACGTCAAATTATGTTTAACTCCATGATTTTTTTTTTGCTTATCTTTCGTAATTCAGAATTTTTTTTATCCCTGACTTGATTATATATTTTGTGGGCTAGTCTTCAGTGACAGTTCTTTTGCCATTTTTTGGAACCTATTTACTGCTAGGTGAACAGATGCATCAGGGTGAAAGAAACCCATTAAAAATGTATCGCCCAACGTGGGGCTCGAACCCACGACCCCGAGATTAAGAGTCTCGTGCTCTACCGACTGAGCTAGCCGGGCTGTGTTTGAATGTGTGTGTACTCACCTAGTTGTGCTTGCGGGGGTTGAGCTCTGGCTCTGTGGTCCTGCCTCTCAACTGTCAATCAACAGGTGTACAGATTCCTGAGCCTACTGGGCTCTATCATATCTACACTTGAAACTGTGTATGGAGTCGGCCTCCACCACATCACTTCCTAATGCATTCCAGTTGTCTACTACCCTGACACTGAAAAAATTGTTTCTAACGTCTCTATGGCTCATTTGGGCATTCAGTTTCCACCTGTGTCCCCCTAGATGTGTGTGTGTGTGTGTGTGTGTGTGTGTGTGTGTGTGTGTGTGTGTGTGTGTGTGTGTGTGTGTGTGTGTGTGAGTGTGTGTGTGTGTGTGTGTGTGTGTTCCTCCTTCCTCCTCTTTTTTTTTTAAAGTTCATTAAAAGTTTATGTTCATATGTTTACACGCAACCACCACCACCACCACCACCCTTACTACCACCACCACTACTACTTCTACTACTACTACGACACTGTGTTACTACTACTACCATTAATAGCATTATGTTACGTTACATTATGTTACATAAACAGTTACATTATGTTACATAATGTAGCCAGTGTTACTGCCGATGCGTCTACTGAAAGACAACACCCAGTGTACGACCCATTAAAAGTTATATACAGGTGATTGTATGATTCCAGGAACGGAGTTATGAATCAGAATTACAACCCCTCCCCTCCCCCCCCTACGACACTTCTTCCTAGATTCCTACCCCTCCCTCCCCCCCCCCTACCAACAGGTGTACAGATTCCTGAGCCTACTGGGCTCTATCATATCTACACTTGAAACTGTGTATGGAGTCGGCCTCCACCACATCACTTCCTAATGCATTCCAGTTGTCTACTACCCTGACACTGAAAAAATTGTTTCTAACGTCTCTATGGCTCATTTGGGCATTCAGTTTCCACCTGTGTCCCCCTAGATGTGTGTGTGTGTGTGTGTGTGTGTGTGTGTGTGTGTGTGTGTGTGTGTGTGTGTGTGTGTGTGTGTGTGTGTGTGTTCCTCCTTCCTCCTCTTTTTTTTTTAAAGTTCATTAAAAGTTTATGTTCATATGTTTACACGCAACCACCACCACCACCACCCTTACTACCACCACCACTACTACTTCTACTACTACTACGACACTGTGTTACTACTACTACCATTAATAGCATTATGTTACGTTACATTATGTTACATAAACAGTTACATTATGTTACATAATGTAGCCAGTGTTACTGCCGATGCGTCTACTGAAAGACAACACCCAGTGTACGACCCATTAAAAGTTATATACAGGTGATTGTATGATTCCAGGAACGGAGTTATGAATCAGAATTACAACCCCTCCCCTCCCCCCCCCCTACGACACTTCTTCCTAGATTCCTACCCCTCCCTCCCCCCCCCCTACCTTCGTGACCGGGCCTCACACCTCTGTAACCAGGAAGCTACAGGTTGTCCAAACGAATGTGAATGTTGCAATAACATTCATGCCCGAAACGCTTTGCGTAATAGTGGCTTTAGGCATTGTATGTACTAGCTATACCTATAAGTCAAACAATCCTTGTAAATATTTATTGTATGTATGTACCTTACCTAAATAAAATTGTATTGTATTGTATTGTATTGTATAAATATTCCTGGGTGCAATTGCTGCTACTATTGATGTTATTACAGGACCGTACTCTTACTGCAGTTACTATTCCCGCCATAAATCTCCACCACAATCTACTTGAGAATGGTCCAGGACGGACCGAAACGTCGTCGTCCCTTCACCTTCTAGTGTGTGGTCTGGTCATCATACTTTAGCCATGTTATTGTGACTCATCGCCTGCACTACTCCCGCTTTTATTTGCTCTTTTTTAACTCTTCTAGCATATCTGGATGTTGTTGGTGGCGTGGGTGCTACTGTCGCAGCGGCGACAACTGCTTCTGCTACTTCTACGACTGTGTTTAGATTGTAGCGCTTACTTGGGTGTACTGCAGAAGTCGCCCCGGTGTTGGTGGAAGGCGTTCGTGAATACGACTCCGTCTTCCTTTTAAGAACGGTGTATCCGGACAACAACTTAATCCGCCCGGATATTTGCTCCACTTTCTTGAATTCCTGCATTATTTAATTTCTCCATCATTTTCAAGTACTTGTCTTGAGTACTTGAATTAAAAAAAAAAGAATCACGACACGTACCTAGTCTCTTTAATTGTTGTGAACTAGTCAATTCTCAATTTATTAACACCGAATTGAATGTTGGATTGAAGGCACTGACACAAAGGCACAAATTTGGAATTTGAAGGCACAAATTCCAGCTGGAATTTAGGATTCGTGTCTTGATGACCCGGTGCCGTTAAACACCACCCACAACAGCGGAAGAAATCCACCATCATGAGGCAACATACGCACAATGACAGGTGTTTTCCACAAAGAAATGGTGATTTGAGACTCCCGCTTGAAGCCACATAAAATAGTGACTTAATAATCGCTATTCAGGTCACATGAATAACACCGTAGCAATCCATCTTGAAGTCACGCGAACAATTATGTAAGAATCCGTCTTGAAGCCACACGAATGATGACGTCAAATCCGCCTCGTCTTCACAGGAGTGTTTTAAGAAAATCCACCACACTGAGTCAGTGGTAACCCCCTTAAAACATGAAGAAAGCCTCAAACGCACCGTCTATTACAGGCTGGCTATAGCCCGGGCTACATGGAAACTTTGTTCAAGAGCAGCTGAACCTAAACAACAACAGCGCCGTCTACCAAATGTCTTAGACACTTCCACTGGCTTCAGCGCCCGTCTTCGCATACTGGTATCCAGGACACGTCTCTAAATATTCGGCGTAAACACACGAATTTCCTTTTTATAAGACTTAACATTTGAACTTCCATAATTTACAGGAATTTTTCAACAAGTGTATGCACGAGTACTTTCAATAATAAATGTATATTAGGGCACGCGTAGTGTGGTGACCCGCGGTGTGGTATTGTGACGAGAGGAGCCACCAGGCTTGGTGATCCTGGTGCGTGAGTCTGCGGTATAGGGCGTGCTGCTTCGTCAGGAGGCCGGGCGGAGTGAGCAGGGGTTGACTGAGGGAGAGAGACAGAGAGGCAGAGTAGTGGCGCGACTGTGGGAGGGAGGGGGGGGGGGAGAGAGCTTGGCGTGGCGTGGTGGTGGTGGTGGTGGTGGTGGTTGGGGGGGTTTGTGTCCCAGGTCGGGGAGGGGGCAGTGCCGGAGGGGTTGCCGGGTGCCACTCTCACCTTCTTCCGTGGCACCAGCCACGCACACAAGCACACCTACGGCTATGAACGTGCCACAGGTAGAGTGCGTCCAACACCCGCACATAATCAGGCAGGGCGCCACCTGAACACGAGTAACAACATGAAGAGGAACCTCGCGCACGCTGCTGGCCAAAGTTCCTCCCGCGAAACTTTTACTCAGTCACTGCGTTAAGCAAGTGACACACACACACACACACACACACACACACACACACACACACACACACACACACACACACACACACACACACACACACACACATTGTGTGTGGAGTCATTGCTGTAAACAACCGATAGCTAGAAAGGCGGGATCCAAGAGTCAATGCTCGATCCTGCAAGCACAAATAGGTGAGTACAAATAGGTGAGTACACACACATGACCTCACACTTGGTAACTAACTACTGTCGCACAAATAGGCTCCAACACACACACTGAAACGTACATGGGAACACTTACATAACAAGCCACGTACATGGGAACACTTACATAACAAGCCACGTACATGGGAACACTAACATAACAAGCCACGTACATGGGCACACTTACATAACAAGCCACGTACATGGGAACACTTACATAACAAGCCACGTACATGGGAACACTTACATAACAAGCCACGCACATGGGAACACGTACATAACAAGCCACGCACATGGGAACACTTACATAACAAGCCACGCACATGGGAACACTTACATAACAAGCCACGTACATGGGAACACTTACATAACAAGCCACGCACATGGGCACACTTACATAACAAGCCACGTACATGGGAACACTTACATAACAAGCCACGCACATGGGAACACGTACATAACAAGCCACGCACATGGGAACACTTACATAACAAGCCACGCACATGGGAACACTTACATAACAAGCCACGCACATGGGAACACTTACATAACAAGCCACGTACATGGGAACACTTACATAACAAGCCACGCACATGGGCACACTTACATAACAAGCCACGTACATGGGAACACTTACATAACAAGCCACGCACATGGGAACACTTACATAACAAGCCACGCACATGGGAACACGTACATAACAAGCCACGCACATGGGAACACTTACATAACAAGCCACGTACATGGGAACACTTACATAACAAGCCACGCACATGGGAACACGTACATAACAAGCCACGCACATGGGAACACTTACATAACAAGCCACGTACATGGGCACACTTACATAACAAGCCACGTACATGGGCACACTTACATAACAAGCCACGTACATGGGAACACTTACATAACAAGCCACGTACATGGGAACACTTACATAACAAGCCACGTACATGGGAACACTTACATAACAAGCCACGTACATGGGAACACTTACATAACAAGCCACGCACATGGGAACACGTACATAACAAGCCACGCACATGGGAGCACTTACATAACAAGCCACGTAAGATGTGAGCCAGTGTCTGTAGCCATGACGACACTGGTGCTGACCCCGGGGGGGGGGGGAGAGCGGGGGAGAGCGGGGCATACAAACAAGTCCTGCCCCCCCCTCCCCCACCTCCCCCCGTCCAAACCCTCCCTTCCCCACCACTTAATTGCCTCCCTCAACCTACAGCAAGGTAAACGCTCATCACTTTAAGGGAACCCTTAATTAAATCAATAACTTTAGTCTTATAAATATCGGGAAGAATGATAATTGGTAATAAGAGACATTATTCTACCAGCAGTGGGTAATTCTTCTCGGAGCCACACTGCAATGTAGTTTGAATGTTCGGGAAATTTGTTTGTATCTTGTGTTAACTGATTTGTAAATGTATACTAATTTAGGAATGTAAAGTGTTTTAATCCGCACGCGGGAATTCATTTAGAAAATACCTTACTGGGAAAAATAGGCTGAGCTTGTCAGAGAGGTAGTTCAAATTATTAATTACAACTGTACTGTATTGTAAGTACAGTACTGTAAGTAGTACTAAGTACTACTAAGTACTAAGTACTACTAAGTACTACTAGTACTAAGTACTAAGTAGTACTGTAAGTAAGTACTAACTGTACTGTACCCAGCGTTGGCTTGGGTAATCTGTCTCTCCCCCACTCCCTATTTCACCTCTCTTTTTCTCCTTCACTCGATCCCCACATTCCCCTTTTCCTTCCCACCTTCTCTTTCCTCCTCTCCCTCCCTTTTCTGCCGCACCCCCCCCCCCCTCACTCCCATCTCCCTATTTCTCCTCCTTTTCTTACCTTTTCCCCGTCTAGCCTCCAACCTCGATTAGACAGATATATCCAAATATATAGGAGTATACCCGGCTGCGCCCGGGTCTCTTCCCTCTCTTACGGTCTTCCACTCCATGGCTCCTTTCCCTTGGTTTTCCCTTTCATCCCTTTCCCTCTTTCCTTCTTTTCCCAGAAAATTGATTATTAAGAAGCGCTGAAACAACTGCACACGTTTCTCAGAAAATATATTACTACGGATCACTAAAAAAAAACAACTAGGGAAAACACATCAAGTATTTCACACGAGACTCCAATAAAATGGGAAAGGGGGTATCTATGGTAATATTTATTACAACATTTAACTTAGGCCGACCCCGACCAGCTTATGTCCTTCCCATACACATGACCATTCCCCCTGCAAAGATGGGTGAGACTAGCCCGAAGCGTTTGGCCCCCAACTTTCAATAAGCAAAAATAAGCAAACGACAGACACTCACTCTTGTACATACTAGATCTCTTATAGTGTTATTGATTGTTTAGATTGTTAAAATAATTTGCTACAATGTTAACCGTAAGGGAAATTTTGGTCAAAATACATTTTTTAAAGAAATTTTACCAAAAACGACAGAAGTACCTTTACCATAATTGACTCATTCCTGTAATTCTGTTAATATTACAGATAGTTTAAATATATTCCTATAGTCTTATTGGTAATGAAAATTTAAAGTGAATACACTGTACATCAAAATGATGTTGGATATATACTCCTTTTGTTAAGGAAATTTGACCATAAAGGAAAACAACTTCTTATATTATACCCAACTTTAACCCGTTTCAAATCCTATTGTTATAAAGGTAACTTCATGCACTGAACACTTCAATATGCACCAACTAAATACCACAATGTTCTATTATCATTCATATATTATCATGCTATTTTGTGTTATAAAAAAAAAACAATCCTAACCAAAATTTAGCCAAATTCTCGCATAATTCCGTTAAATATTGATCACGAGTATTTTGTCCGCTAGGTTCGCTTGTCATCAATATATTACTAAGACAATATTACTCTTAATATTTGGACAGCTTTCTTCTCTCACTCCTCACATGTGACTCTTCACTCCAGCACCAGCTTAACCATGCTGCAGGTAGTGTGGTGGTTATCTTGAGGTTATCTTGAGATGATTTCGGGGACTTTTCAGTGTCCCGCGGCCCGGTCCTCGACCAGGCCTCCACCCCCAGGAAGCAGCCCGTGACAGCTGACTAACACCCAGGTACCTATTTTACTGCTAGGGTGAAAGAAACTTTGCCCATTGTTTCTCGCCGGCGCCTGGGATCGAACCCAGGACCACAGGATCACTAAGCCCAGTGTGCTGTCCGCTCGGCCGACCGGCTCCCTGCCACTGGTTGGTACACTCTGCTCGTACACTAATGGTCTCGGGTTTGATTGCCAGGGGAGGCCGAGAGGTTTGTACACGAGTCCTCATACCTGATGCTTCTGTTTACCTAATAGTAAATAGGTGTCTGTGAGTTAGGCCACTGTTGTGGATTGCATCCTTAGGGAAAGGCCAGTGGTTGGCCTAGGCCCTAGGGGGACCTGGATGAGCCTAACAAGCTTCCTGTCTTGGATAATGGGACACCAGAAGGATAATTAAACATCAAATGTGTCCTTAATTTCTGTTAAAAAAACACGACAAGAAATTCACATAAACAGTAACAGACATTTTGATTCTCTATAAACCTTCCGATAAGATAGATATATTATATATATATATATATATATATATATATATATATATATATATATATATATATATATATATATATATATATATATATATATATATATATATATATATATATATATATATATATATATATATATATATATATATATATATATATATATATATAAACCTTCCTATAAACCTTATTTATTTATGATAAACCGATCATAAACCTTTATAGTCTATGGTTGTTTGGTCCCCTAGGACGCGAGGTTCTCCTCGCATAGTCCTATATACTATATATATATATATATCATTACACTTTGATCAGTGGAAGAATGTTACACTTGGCACAAAACGTCATACGGTGGGCAAAGGAAAGAGGGAAAGAAAACAATGAAGCTAATTGTCTAAGCACCCATAGTTCACACCTGAGAGAGGCAGGTAGCACCATACAATATTACACTGACCAAGATGTAAATTAACAGCCAACATGTCTTCCACTGCCTACATCATTACCCACTAGCTAGATTTTTCAGGCTTAATTGTATATCTTTCCCATGGCATTTTTCAGCTAGTGTTTCTTGTAATTATATGGCATGTTTACGTTTAAATTTGTTCATTAACTAGAAGCTTTTACTAAAGTGTCTTACACTCTAGGAGAATATTTAATGAACATTTTCCTAGCCCAACGAGAGTTGTAACAAATATATATATTCTTGTGCTGGTAAGAACATAATTTGGCAGTGTTCTTAAAGTCTGTTAAACAATATGTCATAGGCCACAAAGGCCTTGATTTACTATATTTGCTCATATACAGCTTTGCATTTATTTTGCTTAGAAACAAACATTCAAATATTGTTATATACCAGACAGTAACCGAGATACATTGGCAAATAAAAGGTTATCCTTGAGAATGTGAAGGACTGATGCAGTATACTGTATACAAATATAACAAGGTAGTCATGCAGTATACGGTATACCAATATAACAAGGTACAGTCAAGACTTTCTCCAGTTGTTAAGGTGACTAGAAGGACTCTCTCTTGGTGTTAAAACAATTTTATTATCGTAATGTCGTGATGTTCATTCAGTGACCGTCACCATTTCTTACAACTGATCACTCTACACAAGGATATCCTCTCTTGAGTTACACTTCTTACACTCTCCTAAATCAAATCCTAATAACTCGTCTTACAAGTATGGAAGTTTACTGTTATCCAGCGAACAAACAAATATTCCTGGTGATTTGGGGAAAGTTGAGATTTCGCACTACTTTTGACGTAGAAATTGAAAGAAATGGCAATGTTTACGGCTTGGAGTGCTCTTGCTTGAAATGGGCTGTATTAATTGTTTCTGTCGGTCTTGTAATGTGTGTAATGCTCAAATTGGCAGGAACAGTAACTTCTAAAGTATATAAAAGTACACGTTTTGTGGTAATTAATGTAGCTTAGACAACCACAACCTCGAACTTCATTTCTGCTTGTAGCATGTATGTTGTGGAGTCATATTGGACTACTAATTTCCATAACAATTGCATGTGTGGTAGTATTGAGGCAGATAGTGCCAGGATTTCTTTTGTCTTGCAGAAGGAATGGTACAAAACATGGTACTTATGGCGATGAAATGAACAAGATTTGTAATGCAGGAAATGTAGTGCATAGAATGTAGTGCATAGAATGTAGTGCATAGAATGAAGTGTTGAGGACAGGAGTCTCGCAGTTATTATTTTATCTAGAAGATAAAATTATTATTTCAAAGTCTTGGTTTCTTGTATAGAACCAGCGGATATTATTACCTATGGGACACCAGCGGTGTATTGGTCAAAATGGCTACCACTTCCCTCAAGATATGTAGCCTAACTGTTCAGGAGGCAAGTCCATAAGCTGCACATATGGAGGAATGTTCACAGGACTTGAAGTTGGTCTCGTGAGTGTGTGTATCACCGTCAACTTGCAGAGAGTTGGCGGTACGCGCAGCGCGGAGATCACAGGGACGCGGAGATCACAGGGACGCGGAGATCACAGGGAGGCGGAGATCACAGGGACGCGGAGATCACAGGGAGGCGGAGATCACAGGGAGGCGGAGATCACAGGGACGCGGAGATCACAGGGACGGGGCCAAACAACAACTTGCAGGGGTGATGAAGAAGCTGGAAGGTAGAGTACGCCTGGGACGGGAGCTGCGGCACGTGTGGTGTGGAAGCTGGCCACACTAGCACTGCCCGCACGACTTCTTGCACGCCACCAGCATGTACTCCGGGTTCACGCGGCACTGGTCACTGGCGGCAAAGTCCTTGCACTGCGGGTCACTGTCCTCACACGCAACAGGAGCGCCTTAGGGGGGGGGGGAATATCAATGTTTATGTATTTATCTTGGATAGAATATCACTGTTCCCTATAAATTTCTTAATATCTAATATGAGACACACATTCCATAAGTATTGTCAGTGAGGAGAGCACTGTAGGCCAGGGTCAAGCCGGGTCATCCTCCCTTCAGAGCGCCTTCCTCTTCTCTCTCTCACACACACAAAAAAGTGTCTTCAAAACCTCTTTTGAAAATTAAGTTAAAGACTGCGAAGCTTGAAGAACTTTTGCAATTAATGGTGTCATGTGCACTCATCAATTGTATATTATAAATAATAATTTCACTTTTAAAATATTTAAATCTTTCCCTTTTTTCTTGTAGCTCATTTATCTTTATAAAAAAATACATAATTCTGTACTAATTATTATTTATTTTCGAGTGATGTTTTTCCTTATGGATTTATGTGATGATTTGTCCTTAACGGATGTTTAAGGTCTTTTATTATACGCCGAGATGTTATTAATTACTGCTTTATTAAGCAATTACTCTTGGAAACAATAGGACAAATGTTCCTAAACGTATGAAAATTGTCATAGATTATATTACACGAGTGGAAGAAACACTTGACTCCCCAAATTATAATATACTCTAAGATGTTAGAGGTCTTATATATAATGTACGCTCTACAATTATGCTTGTTAATTATGCGTTGACACTATAATACTCTACCATCCTGAAGTGGACGGTTGACTATCTTATACTCTAAGATACTAGAGTGTATGGATGGTCAACCATACCATGCTAGAGTGCTGAGCTCCGTATGGGACACGCTGACTAAGACAAATGACTAAGTGGCTAAGACATCAACAAGAAGTACCTTCATCACTAACACTCGAGAACGAGATGCACACCAAATATCCATCTATCACACCCAATACCCATCTGGCATATCCAATACCCATCAAACCTATTCAGTACCCATCTAACAAATTCAATAGCCATCTAACATATCCGATATCCATCTAACGTATTCAATACCCATCTAACACATCCAATACCCACCCCAGCACATCCAATACCATTCTAACATACACGTAACATTCACCCGAACATCTTAATCTCATTTACCCAAACACCCATAGGCATGACATTATTTAATAAATGTTAATATATCAGTACAACATTACTATTCTGACTAACATATACCTATAATACATTACTATTCTGATTAACCTATACCTATAATAGGTTAAGTAATAATTGTAATTACGAAGCAATAAGATACTTATCTTAACATACTAAGAAGGTTAGGTAAGGCCGGTGTTTTCTATGAAGCTTTTCAAGGTAAACTAGTATGTTTAGTATGTCACATATGCACGTATTTAATAAGTCAATGTTGACTATACAAAAGTGCGAGAACGGGTTGCATGAACGCCGCACAGCGTGTAATTGGGTTGGTATGATACACACAGCGGTCCCCTGACCAGTGCGTGTACAAACGTTCCCCCACACACACAAAGCAGTCCCCTAACCAGCATCCAAAAAAAAACGTTTCCCCACAGCCAGCAGTGCCCCCCCCTACTCTGCCCCTACCTACTCCTCCAGCTCAGCCACGAGTGGGTGACCAATGTCTCGAGCTTACCTGGCGGGTCACTGCGCTTTTTGTGACATGTGCCGCACGACTTCTGGCAAGACATCGACATGTAGGAAGGATTCTTGGTGCACTCGCCTATCTTACTCCAGGCTGCGCAGTGCTGTTGCTTATCTACGCACCCTGAAATTGTAAGTTGTTTGGCTTCTATATTACTATTGAGGGTGTGGTGTGGGGGACGATGGTGGGGGTAGTGGTGTGGGGGACGATGGTGAGGGTAGTGGTGTGGGGGTGATGGTGAGGGTAGTGGTGGGAGGGACAGGAGCGTGGCTGTCACAAACTGGACGTGAAACTCAGGTTAATAGCGCTAGCAACAAGCCAAAACAAAAGCAGCAACTCACAACATTCAGTAGTAAATATTAACATATTTACGCTGACAATATGAACTACCCCGTGTAACAACCCCCTTCCCCCCCCCCCACCTTGGCACGTATAAATGGGATAGCTTGAGGCGAACAAATAACATTAAGACCTATCGCTTTATACTGGAGGTAACGGCTCGAGAAACATCAACTACTGTTGCTGGTACTGCAATAGATCATGTACGGATAGATGAGGTCAAAGGTCGGAGAGGTGAGGGCATGTGGTTTGTGTTGCCTTGTGGAATAATAGTCACACCTGAAGAAATGACATTTGGGAGAGTTTATACGGAACTTCATTCATGAGAACGCCTCATACTTAACTGACCTGCCTCGTATGTCTCTGACAGTGTGATAAGGAAGATCATTACACGTTTATCCACTGACTTATTATCCTCAATTCTGACAAAGGTGTTGCTCCTAGAAATCCATTAATACCTGTGCTGCTACTTCAATTTTAGTTGTTAATTATATTTACATTAAAGTAAACATAAGCAATGAGATGTATCACTATGAGTGAGACCTTCTTAGTACAACACATATTATCACAGTTACATATAACCTATAACACTCTGTGTTTACATATTGACCCCTTCACAACCATGGGTGCTTCCTAACCATACTGGTCAGCAGTAGCAGTAAAGCTTTCTTGCCTAACTTGAGCTGGAAAGTTCATTTTATCTTCAAAATGAACGTGAAGAGCAATGGTGTGCTCAGTTCAGTATACAGTGCACAGCTACACGTGTCAACCAACATTTCACTGCACCTTTTTTGTAATACAAACAGCACCACAAAAGGGATATAAAGAGTATGTCTTCCTGCTATAACCTGTGAGTTTGAGTGCTAAACAACACATTAATATGTGCATTAGTACTGCAACTTTGTAAACCACAAGGAAGTATATGAATATATATATATATATATATATATATATATATATATATATATATATATATATATATATATATATATATATGTCGTACCTAGTAGCCAGAACGCACTTATCAGCCTACTATGCAAGGCCCGATTTGCCTAATAAGCCAAGTTTTCCTGAAATAATATATTTTCTCTATTTTTTTTCATATGAAATGATAAAGCTACCCATTTCATTATATATGAGGTCAATTTTTTTATTGGAGTTAAAATTAACGTAGATATATGACCGAACCTAACCAACCCTACCTAACCTAACCTAACCTAACCTAACCTAACCTAACCAACCCTACCTAACCTAACCTAACCTATCTTTATAGGTTAGGTTAGGTTAGGTAGCCGAAAAAGTTAGGTTAGGTTAGGTTAGGTAGGTTAGGTAGTCGAAAAAACATTAATTCATGAAAACTTGGCTTATTAGGCAAATCGGGCCTTGCATAGTAGGCTGAGAAGTGCGTTCTGGCTACTAGGTACGACATATATATATATATTATATATATATATATATATATATATATATATATATATATATATATATATATATTCGTACATATACATATATAACCGCACGTACCTGGAGAGCCGCCGGCGCCGTGGCACGAACGACAGCACTTATCGCCCATGTAGGTTGGATTCTTCGTACACTCGCCAGCCTTGGCCCAGGAGCTGCAGTACTGGTGGTTGTCCGTACATAAGCCTGTACCAACACTCTCATTACCATCCGCCATGATAAATATTACACTCAGATTATAACTTTTACACCAAGACTACGGTTTGGTAAAACTCAAGGGTTAACTAATTTGTTTTCGCCCTTTGACACATGTTAGAGATATGCGATAATTATGTATACGCTGAAATATATATATATATAGTTATTAAGGTCTGTGAAGTGAACTAGTCTGTCGAACTTTATTAGACGATGAATACGTGTCAAATGATTGAAGGTGTTACTGTTTGAAACAAAATAAAAAAGTTTATTATAGAAGTGACTAGATGATGCGCACGCACACACACACACACACACACACACACACACACACACACACACACACACACACACACACACACACACACACACACACACACACACACACACACACACATATGCAGGCGATGAGTCACAATAACGTGGCTAAAATATGTTACCAGACCACACACTAACAGGTGAAGGGACGACGACGTTTCGGTCCGTCCGGGACCATTCTCAAGTCGACAATCGACTTGAGAATGGTCCAAGACGGACCGAAACGTCGTCGTCCCTTCACCTTTTAGTGTGTGGTCTGGTCAACACACACACACACCCCACCTACCTGCCACAACAGGCGAGGTGGTCCCGGTACCAACTGGGGTATCCTTACAGTACAGCAAATTAACTTTTTTCTTGTCACTCTGAAAGAGAAACATATCATGATGGCGGAGGATTACTGTTAATAATGAAGGGTTTTAATTAAACAAAATGTCTCAAGCTCAGGGTGACTACTAGGTCTCAACACATAAATATTATCTAAGTTTAAAATGAAGACTACTGCTATATATGGCCCTCGAGACTGAGATAAATATCTTAGGATATTAAATATATCAAGTAGGATCTCGTAGCACACTTGATTTCGTTCTCGACTCACAATGCCAAATCCTGGGTTCGATTCCCGGGCGGGGGCAGAAATGGTTGGGCACGTTCCCTTTCACCTAATGCCGCTGTTCACCTAGTAGTAATTAGGTAGCCGGGAGTTAGGCAACTGCTGTGGGGTTGCATCCTGGGGAGAGTCGCTAGATCCACCTTCAGGGGACGATGACACAAGCATGTGTGCACCCGGTAAACGGTAATGTAATCCTACGGGCTCACCATAGCCCGTGCTACTTGGAATTGTTTGTTCCAAGTAGCGAATCTTTAACAACAACAACAGGTAATGTAATTACTCAACACGACACCATTAATCTTGTGTACACCTTGATCGTCCTCCAATCTATTTATCTCACTCTCGAGGGCGACTTGAGGTCTTCCTGTCTGTCTGTCCTCACATGCCTAGTCCTCTCCCTGGAAACACAAACCGTAACTGTCTCTATTTTCCGCTTGTTACAACTTGTAATAAAGTTGTTACATCTTGGCTTAACGTGTTTATGACGTATTAGAACGTTGTTACAACTTGCTATATTGGTTATTATAACTGGTTAGCAAGTGTTAAAACTTGTTCGAACGTTGTACCAACGTCGTAGTTTCGGTGTGTGTTTGGCGGGCTGAGATCGGTCCGGTAGCGAATTTCTGGATTCCTGTTATTTTGACTTTTAGAGTTAGCAGTTTGACTGGGTTAAAGTTAAAGGCTGTGAGCCTGCTAGGAGGGAGCAGAAGTTATGTTGTGTACTCTCGTGTGTGAACAAATAACATTACACAGAGTTCCCTGCGACTCAGCTGACAACTTCCCTCTGATTCACGTACTTTCTATTGGTGTCCAGGCCAGGATTCATCGAGCATTTACGCGTTCACTTACGAAGCCTCTACATCGTGCATCGATAATCGTGGCTTGTATTTATTAGATAACTTTCTAGTTTGGAAACTCGGCCACTTATGGTTATGATTATTATAGATAACCTCGTAGAAATTGTCAAGTGTTTAATAACTTAAGTTCTCACCAGGTATGAGTGAGCAAAGATGTGCAGGTGTCGTGAGAGAACACTTAATGACTCCTGCCTTAATGACTTAATGACCTCGGGCCAGATTCACGAAAGCACTTACGAACCTGTACATCTTTTTTCAATCTTTGGCGGCTTTGTTTACAATTATTTAACAGTTAATGAGCTCCGAAGCACCAGGAGGCTGTTTATAACAATAACAACAGTTGAATGGGAAGTTTTCATGCTTGTAAACTGTTTTATAAATGTAACCAAAACCGTCAAAGATTGAGGAAAGATGTACACGTTCGTAAGTGCTTTCGTGAATCTGGCCCCTCGTCTCTATCTTAGTGAGAGACTCCTCACCAGCTCACCTACGTCACATGTGGTTTCCTAATAATTATCAAAAGCTTCATTATTAATCTCTGGACGTCCCTGGTAAGGGATTCATACTTTACCATAGATAATGCTTTCCTCTGGCCCATTTCTGCCTGGGAATGTTTGGCGACGATGGTTGGCTGAGATGGATCCTTAGCGAAGGCATTAGATCCATAATGCATAATCGACCCTGAGAGCAGAAACAGAGAACACAACATTAACAACACATCTTTATCTGGCAAGGAATTACTTTAACAGAATGTTATAAAACTCTGAGAGAACAATACAACGGTAAAGAGTCGAGATATCTCACCAACATCGTATTCAACACCCAGAGTCTGGACCTTATTCCAGGTGAAGGCCTGGAAGTTGTAATCCATGCCGGTCTTGATGTTGTTCCACACGATGTTGATGTGTTTGTCGCGGTCAGGGCGGGAGTGCTCGTGCCAGAAGCCAATAGCGTGCATCAACTCGTGCATAACAACACCCACGTAGATGCAGCCGGGGCCCAGAGACACCGGCTGGGCTCCTCCTTTCCGCCCCACAGAACTCGAACACCTGTCGGAACACCGCTCTCCTTATCCAACCATAAAAATGAAGAACATTCTAATATATTAACCCTGGAAACACAAATCGAAACTTTCTCTATTTTCCGCTTGTTACAACTTGTAATAAAGTTGTTACATCTTGGCTTAACGTGTTTATGACGTATTAGGACGTTGTTACAACTTGCTATATTGGTTGTTATAACTGGTTAGGAGGTGTTAAAACTTGTTCGAACGCTGTACCAACGTCTTAGTTTCGGTGTGTGTTTGGCGGGAACACAGGACGTTTAAGTGAATACCAGAAGCATGAGCCACGAAGCTTATATATACAATGGTCCATATATAGGAGGTGCTACCTCTGGGGCAATTGTGAGGAGCCATAGTCTCGGAGAAGAGAATAAAAGGTATTCAGAGACGACCTTACACGTTCTCCTGAACACGTGTGGATTATTTTCTTCTCCTACCAACATTTGTTGTCATGATACAGATACACGTAGACAGAGAGACTGACCCATCGCCCTTGATGAGGTGGATGTAGTCTTGCTCCACCTGCCGGGGCACGAAGCGGATGCAAGTGAGCTCCTCGTAGTTCTTAATGGACATGGCGACCACCGCTCGCTCCTGGGTGTCTGGCGAGTGGCAGATTATTTATTTATTTTTATTTATTATTTATTTTTATTTATTATTTATTATTTATATATACAAGAGCTTTTACATTCTTGTACAGCCACTAGTACGCGTAGCGTTTTGGGCAGGTCCTTAATCCTATGGTCCCTGGAATACGACCCCCGCGAAAAATCGTCTAATCAATTATCCTGTTGCTGTTGAGTTAAACAGAGGCTGCAGTTAAGGATTTGCGCCCAGTAAATCCTCCCCGGCCAGAGTACGAACCCAGGACAAAAGGCCCAGCGAGCGTCTTAACCACCACACCACAGGGGCTGCATCCACTCTGATTACCACGCCCACCACTTTTGTACAACACATAACCCTAAAACTATATGTAAGAAAAATAACAAGAGGTAAGCGCACTCGCTCTAATTTATTAACTCTTCACATGTAACTTAAATTACTTAAGCACATATACAACAACACATCATAATATCAATAAGGAAGAAGAAGGAGAAGAAGAAGAAGAAGTAGAAAAAGAAGAAAAAGAAGTACAAGAAGAAAAGCAGCAGTACGCCACAGCAGTCCCCGTAAAACACTCGTTTGGCGCTATGCAAACGCTTTGCCCTGGGTTCGTATCCTGGCCGGGGAGGATTTACTTGGTACCAATCCTTAACTGTAGCCTCTGTTCACTCAGCAGCGATTAGGTACCTAGTTCTTAATTAAACGATTTGGCGGGTCGTATTCCGGGAAAAATTAGGATTAAGGACCTGGGACCAGATTCACGAAAGCACTTACGAACGTGTACATCTTTCCTCAATCTTTGACGGCTTTGGTTACATTTATTAAACAGTTTACAAGCATGAAAACTTGCCAATCAACTGTTGTTATTGTTATAAACAGCCTCCTGGTGCTTCGGAGCTCATTAACTGTTTAATAATTGTAAACAAAGCCGCCAAAGATTGAGAAGAGATGTACAGGTTCGTAAGTGCTTTCGTGAATCTGGCCCCTGACCGCAACGCTACGCGTGCTGGTGGCTGTTCAACAACGTAACACCTCTTGAATATATAAATATAAAAACAGGAAGGGAGAAGGAAGGAAGCAGGAGAAAAATAAAAATATAAATGTAGATAATGTATTAATACATTTACCGCTAAGAGTATAAGGCGTATACTGGGCAGGTCAGTAGAGTTAGGTATGTATTAACACGATGTACTGAACGGGGTGAGAATAGCTCGAGCTACCTCATCCCTTTGTGTGTATTTTACCTCAATAAACTTATTTCAATTTCAATTTCGGGTAGAGTTAGGGTGAAGAGCAGGACCGTGCACTCTGCAGGCTAGGCTCTCTGACTATACTGCATGCTCTGCAACACCACCCCTCGCCAAAGCTCAACCCCCCCGCAAGCACAACTACGTAATTACAACTAGGTGAGTACCCGCACGGGTTGTAAACAACAACAATAAATTCTTTGTGTGTTGTGTTTTTTCACAGTTTGAATCTTTATGTTATATCTTGCAAAATGTTTAACTTTATATTATTTAGTGAATTATTTTCACTCTTGTTGTCCAAGGTTGGCGGCCAGACGCCCGGGGCTAGTCTCACTCAACTTTGCAGGGAAATGGTCTGTGGTACGGGACGGACATAAGTTGGTTTTGGTTACCTTACCTTACCTTGAGGTGCTTCCGGGGCTTAGCGTCCCCGCGGCCCGGTCGTCGACCAGGCCTCCTATAGACGTAGGTCTGGAGGTGCCGGGAATCGAACCCGGGGCCTTTCACAATATGACCCCTGTTACCCAACCCCCAGCTTGAAAAGTTAGTTCAGGCTAGCCCCTGGCGTCTGGTCTTTTACATAGACAGATAAACAGACATTCTACTTTATAGATTTCAGTTCTTACTTACTGAATGACTGGGAGATGACGTAGGGGATGACACCGTTGGGCCAACGGTTCTCCATCTCCGCCATGGCGTTCCTCTGTAAGTACAGTACCAGGCCCAGCGGCCAGTGTTTAGTGTGGCTTGTTGGCCTCGGTTGGAGTCATAAGGTTAATAGCAGCAGGTTTGCTTTGGAATGACAAGGTCTGTGACAAGGTCTGTGACGAGGTCTGTGACGAGGTCTGTGACGAGGTCTGTGACGAGGTCTGTGACGAGGTCTGTAACGAGGTCTGTGACGAGGTCTGTGACGAGGTCTGTGACGAGGTCTGTGACAAAGACTGCAGCCAAGTCCGCGACAAGGAATTTGCTTCTAGTCAAGAGTAAACAAGTAAAGTTCGTTGAGAGAGAGAGAGAGAGAAAGAGAGAGAAGAGAGAGAGAGAGAGAGAGAGAGAGAGAGAGAGAGAGAGAGAGAGAGAGAGAGAGAGAGAGAGAGAGAGAGAGAGAGAGAGAGAGAGAGAGAGAGAGAGAGAGAGAGAGAGAGAGAGAGAGAGAGAGAGAGAGAGAGAGAGAGAGAGAGAGAGAGAGAGAAATAAAGATAGACTGACAGAGCAAATAGTGAGAGTGAAGAGAGGAGTGAGGAAGAAGAGTGGGTGTCGCGATTATAAGAAAAGCGTTCAGAAAAAGGTGGTGAAGGGTATCTAATCAAGAGAAAACGCTAAGCCAGTATAGCTACACAGTAACTGAATTAAAATGATTTACATAATATACAAAATGGCGATACGAGAGCAGAATAACAAGGTTTGTAAAATGAAAAGGAGTGCGATTCACCGAGCATAGTGATAACTTATTATTATTAACATCTTTATTGACAAAAAATAATTACAATTTTGCCTAATCTGAGGAATTCAATAACTGTCGTTAAGGTATAGTTGGGAAGCCGAGTTTCCAAGCATGGTGAAAATCAGAGCAAGAGAGAGAGAGAGAGAGAAGGCAGTACACAGTACAAGGTGATGGTAATCATCAGGAGAGTGTGCTAAGCCAACACCACTATACAGCACTTGGAAGGGATAGGAGGATAAGGATTTAGGATAGGGCGGAAAAAAGAGTAATGGTGCCCAGCCACTTGGGGGACGGTCGGGGATTTGAACACCGACTTGCAAGAAGCCAGAGCTTCCGGGCTGTGGTGGGTATGTGGGCCTATGGGCAGCTCCAAGCAACAGCCTAGTGGACCAAACTCTCACAAGTCAAGCCTGGCCTCAGGCCGGGCTTGGGGAGTAGAAGAACTTCCAGAACCCCATCAACCAGGTATCAACCAGAGCGTCGCTCTACCGTCCAGTCCAAGAGGTTGGGGTTAAGTAGTACATGACAATCGGGAAAGTGCGAAGCAGATGTTCTATCCAGCATATAACCAAGAGTGACGCTAGCATGGCCAATACGCAAACGTAACGTGATATAAAAATCACGTGGTATACTTCCTTAGTTATATACTAAGGAAGTATACCATATTCGAGTCTAATGACACGAAAATGGCCAAGGAACAACGTAACAGCTAACGGGTAAAGCTTATTATTGGTCACATTTATTCCCTTCTGTCTCCATCGTGTAAATAAGTCTAAATGGGAAGTAACTCTAGATATAAAACCTTTATATTTCATATAAAATATATAAACCTCCACTTATATGCATTCACTAAAAATAAGATAGAGCAAATATTAGATTCCTGTAACCAAAGGATTGTATGGATTAACAATTTTGATAGCCAGTGACACACTTGTAGAATCTACACTAATTACACACTAAGATTTCTATAATAATAATAAAAAATATGTTCAGTACAGATGAGCAAAGCAGTAAAAATAGTCGTCACTGCATGTCCAGGCTTTGCAACAGTGAATGATAGGGCTATGCCACGGTTATATTTGTGGAATGATGCGTGAGAATATATCATTCTGAAGCTTGAGTGAAGAAATACAAGTAACAACAGAATCATAACACTAATGTTTCCTTGCTAATTTGGGAAGTTGGAAACATTGGGCAGGTGTTGAGACACTGTACACCTGAGCCACGTCAACAGTCAGGCTAGTAAAGTGCTCAAATGACACCTATCATAAATTGATAAAAAATCCATCTTTAACATAAAGGCTTTGGACAAGGCAGGATCGAGCGGGTTGTTCCTGCTTTAAACGCAAAAAAAAAAAGATTTGAGTAAATATTGTTTTGGGAAATAGAAATTTTTGGTTTATGGAGCAGACTACCGTGCAACAGTAGGTGAGGTTGGCCGAGTGTTTCAAGCTCAGGTTATACATGTATATGACGTCTGGTTAGCTAGAAGGAGAAGTTGCCACACATTGGCCCATAGGCCGTTTGCAGTCGCCTAAATTTTAAGAGTGGTGAGTTGATTTACACTGATGGCTTGGTGTGAAACATACCTTGAGATGAGGCGTTGAACATAAGCAGGTAGATGATGTAAGTATATATATGTCTAATTCATCCTTTAATGTCAGTATGCACCTTACACCTGGTGAACCTATCCATAAGGATGGGGGCTGCCAAACACTATCTCGGATTACCTCTTGATTCCAACCCAGACGTTTCGTGTGTATGTGTGTGTGTGTGTGTGTGTGTGTGTGTGTGTGTGTGTGTGTGTGTGTGTGTGTGTGTGTGTGTGTGTGTGTGCGTGCGTGTGTGTGTGCGTGCGTGCGTGCGTGTGTAGGGGAAAGAGAGAGGGTACACGGAAACAATCACCCACCGGTTCCGGTACTCCCATCAGCATGTCCTTCAGCTCCTGCTGTGAGCCCAGCCTGATGTCGCCCTGGTACAGCCCCGCCAGCATGATGGGGTCGTAGGCGGAGAGCACGTCCACCGGGTCGTGCACTGTGGAGGGGGGGAAAAAGAGAGCGCTAAGGTAAGAATATGGGTGACGGAGGGAGTGAGGATAGCGGGGGGGGGGGGGTGTGGCGAAGAAGGTTGAGGACGCAGCCCGTCCTCCTAAGGTTTCCCAACGTCAAGAAACTGTCGTACGACAGTGCCCTTATTTTAATCTACCCGGAGAACCCAAAACAGAAAACGGGAGAGTATGTCAATTTCCTGAGCCGCTTCCATTTTCTAGTACGACAGTTTTTTGGCCCTAATATGCTGTATTAGGAGGTTGGGAGGAGAGGCATTCAGGGAGGGATAAGTGACTCAGGAGTAAAGTGCCTCTCTACAGCCATAACTATATGTCAGTGGCGTTGGATTACTGCAATAACTTTATGAAGCACACAACAGCGCGTGCGCGCACATCACAATTAAACATGTGTGAAAAAGCCTGGGTTTGGCACCCCTACATAAACTGTTAAACTGGAAAGAATAAATGCCAGTGGTGCAGCAGGAATGCGAGACTTAATTAGACTTTGAATTCATCAAGTCAGCCACAACCATATCACTTCCTAATGCTCTCTAATTGTTATCTACTCTGGCACTGACAACAAATTATTTCTAACGTCTCTATGACTCATTAGGGTATTAAATTTCCACTTGTGTTCCCTTGTTCGTTTACAAACCGTGTTGAATAGTTTGCCCTTTATCTACCCTGTCAATATCTCTGGGAATTTTGTAGATGGTAATTATGTCTCTCTTAAATCTTGTCTTCCACTGACGTGATGATTAATTCTACTAATCTTTCTTCGGAGCTGCATACTCTAGGATTCGTCTCTGACATATGAGGTATACAAGGTAGTGACTGACTCCTTATAAAAGTATCTAAAGGTAGTTCTTGTGCTGGCAAACCTCACACATGCCGCTGAAGGTATTCGCTTAATGTGTGCTTCAGGAGACAGGTTCAGCATGATATCAACCCCCAAGTCTTTCTCTCTTCTCGATTCCTGAAGAATTTCATCTCCTGATTGCTATCTTGAGTCTGGCCTCCTGCTCCCTACACCTATATTCATTACGTTACACTTGCATGAGTTAAACTCTAGTAGTCATTTGTTGGACCACTCCTTCAGTTTGTCCAGATCATCTTGTAGTCTCCTGCTGTCCTGTTTAGTCTTAACTATTCTCATAATTTTAGCATCGTCATCAAACATTAAAAGGAATGAGTCTATACCCTCTGGAAGATCTTTTACATATATCAGAAACAGCATAGGTCCAAGTACAGAACCTCGTGGGTCTCCGACGGTGACATATTGCTATTGTGAGTTCTCCCACCACTCCCCTCACAGTAACTCTCGCACGCGCGCGTGTGTGTATTCTAAACTGTACCGGTACGAGAAATCACTCAGGACATATTAAATGCTTCAAACTGGCGGTGGGACTGAGAGGAAGCAGAAGAGTAGTGTAGACTCACACATGTCATCGCTGATGTTGCTGAAGTCGTCAGGTGTGAGAGGTTCGCCCAAGATGTCGCTCTCAATCTGACGAAGACATACACAAGCCTCATTACATAGTGGTCGTTGGGTAGAGAGAATGTGTGATTTATAGATGTAAACAGAACTCTCTCTCTCTCTTTATCTCTGTCTCTGCCACACACACACACACACACACACACACACACACACACACGGGACACCACGAGCGTAGCTCTCATCCTGTAACTACACTTAGGTAACACACACACACACACACACACACACACACACACACACACACACACACAAACACGGGACACCACGAGCGTAGCTCTCATCCTGTAACTACACTTAGGTAACACACACACACACACACACACACACACACACACACACACACACACACACACACACACACACACACACACACACACCAAGCAGTTGACGTAGAGGGTATAATCCACATCACAAGTCCATGTACGCCGAATAACATAAGCAAATATATATACAAAGTGAAATAATCAAATGGCAGATAGAAAACAGAAAGGTTGCAGAGAATCACTCACAGAGTCAGCGTTGCCCAGTGGAAGGTCTGGGAGGTTGGCGGGGTCGAGCTGCGGGAAATCGTGGTCCTGGTGTACCACGCTGGGGTCTGAGGACCTCAGCGTCCCGCCCACGCACGCCCACACACCGCACACCACCCCCACGGACACCCACATCTTCCCCTGTTACAAGGGGCACGGAATGACAAATTTGAACAACAAATTCTAGACTCTGTGTGTGTGTGTGTGTGTGTGTGTGTACTCACCTAGTTGTACTCGCCTAGTTGTGTCTGCAGGATCGAGCATTGACTCTTGGATCCCGCCTTTCGAGCATCGGTTGTTTACAGCAATGACTCCTGTCCCATTTCCTTATCATACCTGGTTTTAAAATTATGAATAGTATTTGCTTCCACAACCTGTTCCTGAAGTGCATTTAGTTTTCCCACTAGTCTCACGCTAAAAGAAAACTTCCTAACATCTCTGTGACTCATCTGAGTTTCAAGCTTCCATCCATGTCCCCTCGTTCTGTTACTATTCCGTGTGAACATTTCGTCTATGTCCACTCTGTCAATCCCTCTGAGTATCTTATACGTTCCTATCATGTCCCCCTCTCCCTTCTTCTTTCTAGTGTCGTAAGGCACAGTTCCCTAAGGCACTCCTCATACCCCATCCCTCGTAGATCTGGGACGAGTCTCGTTGCAAACCTCTGAACCTTTGGATGTGTGTGTGTGTGTGTGTGTGTGTGTGTGTGTGTGTGTGTGTGTGTGTGTGTGTGTGTGTGTGTGTGTGTGTGTGTGTGTGTGTGTGTGTGTATGTGTGTCACATATCCTGTGTAGTAACAGTGTGGAAGTACGGTTACTGTGACTGGCTTCATAATGAAGGGGTCACGAGGGTCAATGATTGTATATTCATTTTATATTCGGCGCTCCGCGCACTTTGGAAGCTCTCTCAGCTCACAATCGAGTATCCCGGGTTCCATTTCCGGCCGGGACAGAAAAAAGAACTGAGCACGTTTCTTTTCACCCAATGCCGTTGTTCACCTAGCACTAAATTGATATCTGGGAGTTAGACAACTGTTGTGGGTTGCATCCAGGGCAGGGATCTACAGTTCGACTCGAGGTTACGGGGAGGCCGTAATATAAGTCGACACATGCTTCAATAAATATACACAGGCTTCCTGTCCCCGACAAAAACGTATTAATAATTATTAAAGCGAAATACACAAATCTCTCTGGAGTGAGTCATGAACATTTCACACCATTTCACATTTCACACATTTCTGTTACCTAGCAGTAAAATAGGTACCTGGGTGTTAGTCAGCTGTCACGGGCTGCTTCCTGGGTGTGGAAAAAAAAGCCCCGAAATCATCTCAAGATAACTACCATACTCCCTCCACATACAACAGCCACGGCCTAAATTTAATTAAAGTAATCCAGGCGAGGAGTCACAATAACGTGGCTGAAATATGTTGACCAAACCACACACTAGAAAGTGAAGGGACGACGACGTTTCGGTCCGTCCTGGACCATTCTCAAGTCGATTGTGAATAAATAAAAAAAAAGTAATGTCGTCGGGGATGGGCTTGTGTGGTAATGTTCAACACTCTGGATGTATGGAAAATGGTCGAGGAAGCTGGTGGAAGCATTGTAGAATGACAGGAAAAGCCCAAAGTCAGGTAATATAAGGCATGTAAACATTTACAGTCTCCGTGGTGTAGTGGTAAGACACTCACCTGGCGTTCCGCGAGCGCTATGTCATGGGTTCGTATCCTGGCCGGGGAGGATTTACTGGGCGCAATTCCTTAACTGTAGCCTCTGTTTAACGCAACAGTAAAATGTGTACTTGGATGAAAAAACGATTCTTCGCGGCAGGGGATCGTATTCCAGGGACCATAGGATTAAGGACTTGCCCGAAACGCTACGCGTACTAGTGGCTGTACAAGAATGTAACAACTCTTGTATATATCTCAAAAAAAAAAAAAAAAAAAAAAAAAAATTAAGTGTATCTAAGCATCATCAGACGCTCAGCCAAGGGCTTGATGCCTATAACGAGATTACTTGAATTCAATGAGCAGATGATAACGAACAAATCCACGAGGGGCGTGATGAGGGTTCGAACCTACGCACGGATTTGTTCATTTGATATATCACGCTATTGTGATTTCTGTGTGCACTGAGGTAAAGGCATCTGGTTGACAGAGCCCGGGTGCATGGGGGGGGGGGAATTGTGTGAAACCCCGATTGTGCTTCGGATAAACTTCGGGATCCTCGTGAGGGCAGTAGCACGCCAGGTTGCAATTCTTTTACCATGTCGTGGCATAGTCGACTAAGGCGCGTCTGGGAACATCCCGTACATAGGTTCGAACCCTCACCACGGCTCATGTGGATTTGTTCATTTGATATATCACGCTTTTGTTATGTCTGTGTGTATAGCAGATGATAACGATTGAAAAGAACAGAGAGGTATGGGTTAACTGTCTATTTCCTTGATTTCTAGCATCTTGTCTATGTGTGAGCGAGAAATATATGTAGTACATATGATAAAAGAAACTGAGATCGGAAGTCAGTGCATTAGACAACCGACGGTGAGAAAGGCGGGGTCCTAGAGCTAACATCTCAATCCAGCAGGCACAAATAATAAATACAAATAGTAAATACACGCACATGTACGTCTGTTAAGGTAAACAATGAAAACAAATACGGGGAAAAGCTTTGAGACTACAGTTATCAGAACTAGAAGCCACAGTTTAAACTGAACATAAAACTGGGCACAAAAATTATATCAGGAAGTATATTATTGAATTAAATTCCAAGAAAAGACGAAAACCACGGGTAGTTTTAAAACTAATTATGATAGATAAATAAATAAATAAATATATTTTATATATATAAAATGGAATATATATATATATATATATATATATATATATATATATATATATATATATATATATATATATATATATATATATATATATATATATATAAACACAATAACAAATGTACTGTAGAGAGCCGTACACACACACACACACACACACACACACACACACACACACACACACACACACACACACACACACACACACACACACACACTACCTTGCAAGCGGCTGAGCAAGGGCACTCCGGGGAGCCAGCGGTGGATGATGGGTGTGTTGTCACGGCACTGAGGACTCGGGTGGTGGTGGTGCGACCAGCATGGGAGCCTGGGTCGATGTATTATGTTAAACAATCCAGGGAGGACTTATATATCCACCATGGCGCCAGCATCCGTCACTTCCACGCCCTCCCCTACACTTCCTCTCCTCGATGCCATGGAGTCGACTTTCCTGATTATCTTTGTGTTAAGTACTTGTGTAAAGGAGGAAATGTAGATGTTTGTCTCTCAGAATGTTTGGTAATATGTTTATTGTTTGTGATGTGTGTGTATGTATGTATTAACACGATGTACTGGACGGGGTGAGAATAGCTTGAGCTACCTCATCCCTTTGTGTGTATTTTACATCAATAAACTTATTTCAATTTCAATTTCAATTTGTGTTAAGTTCAGCTCGGGTTCTGGCGGGTCGTGTGCTCAAATTGATGTGTTTCTAAGGGGAAGAGCGTCAGCTTTTAACCTCTTATTACTTTAATATAAGAACTGTTCTCTTGTTTCCATTGTCATATTTACGTTTAAAACTGTGTATTACCTTTAACCACTTCACGTAACATTATATACAACTCCTTCACGGAAGTGTTTGTTGCATCTGTGGATTATCCGCGTCTCTAGTTTCCATCTCGTTCTGTTTCTTCTCACTTAAAGCATTGTTTCCTGCGTACAATTATCCTGAGAATCTTATATGTCGTTATCATGTCCCGCCTATTTCTTTTCTCCTCCAGTGTGGAGAAGCCCAGTTCTTTCCTTGTAGCGCGGGCACTCGGCCCACGCCACGACCATTTGTTATGGTCATTAATGACGATAACAAATGGTCTTTCAGTCTTTCGGAATACATATTCCGAAAGACTGAATTATGGACTTTATTTTGATATTTTACCAATGAGCTTATCTATACAGGAAGCAACGTTATTTGTTATAGCGTACAAACAGATCAAAGGAAAAAGCAACGCCCTCTGTGCTTGACAAATTCAAAATACTTTGGAGAAAAGCAATGACTGTTCACAATATATAGTTTGTTCAACACTAAAACTATTGTAATTTTTTATAAATATTAATTTTATAAAATAAACATAATTTATTATTACAATTAATCTTTAAAGAGAGGCTGAAGACGGAGTGTTGATGGGCTTTGTGTTGACTGGGAGAAGGTTTCCTTAGTGATAGACCTCGATGATGCAACCGGCTAACTCCTGGGTACCTGTTTACTACTAGGTGAATGAGAATATATTCCTGGGGGATCAGAAGTAGCAATGTGGGTAAGGATATCCTGAGTATTTATGGATATCCTGAGAACTTATGTATCCTGAGTACTTATGGATATCCTGAGTACTTATGGATATCCTGAGAACTTATGTATCCTGAGTACTTATGGATATCCTGAGTACTTATGAATATCCTGAGAACTTATGTATCCTGAGTACTTATGGATATCCTGAGTACTTATGGATATCCTGAGAACTTATGTATCCTGAGTACTTATGGATATCCTGAGTACTTATGAATATCCTGAGAACTTATGTATCCTGAGTACTTATGGATATCCTGAGTACTTATGAATATCCTGAGTACTTATGTATCCTGAGTACTTATGGATATCCTGAGTACTTATGGATATCCTGAGAACTTATGTATCCTGAGTACTTATGGATATCCTGAGTACTTATGAATATCCTGAGAACTTATGTATCCTGAGTACTTATGGATATCCTGAGTACTTATGGGCTAAAGCCCTTAAGAATATATATAGAGTATCTTATATACAAGGAACATCATCAGAAATTATCTCCAGGAAGTTCTGATGTAGACTGAGTTCTTCCATATAATAATGTTGTATAAAGCAGCATCTTCGACACGTGTATACTAGTATATAATATCATAGGTTAAACTAGATTAGAAGATATCGCGACATTTACACAGAAAGATTAGATCTCAGTCTAGCAGTAAACAGGAGAGCAATCACGAAATAATCCCAAAAGGGAAGGCAAAGGCAATCAGCTTCTCGGGAAGTAACATTCTAAATGTCATCAAAGTATATAATATAATTACTGAAGAGACAGAATTACTGTTTGAGTAGACAGAGCGGCAGACGGACAAGGAGACTGGTGTCAGAGGAGGGATGAGGTCCCGCATGGATGCTGGTACCCCAGGAGATCATTCATGCGGTACCAACACAGCACATGCGGGCACAGATAAAAAGCCGATCAGCATCATTCACTACAGTAGATAATTAAATAAGTAAATAATAAAGAAATGATTACCCCTATAAAACTTGATGGATTTTAATAGCAATACTTGACCGATGGATATCATAGTACACAGGTCAGAGATACTTTTTTTAGGGTCATATGAGTATCTGTAGGTAAACTGTGAAAACTGTGGGTAAACCCGTGAAATTTATACGCTAGTCCACCGTGAGAATGGACCACACAATGCTTAGCTTAGCATTTTAAAAGCACCGAATCACCTTCTGTGGTTGAGTGTTCAATAAACACTTGAACTATATGTTTAACACTTCTCTAACCCTGTCCATGGAGGACAGAAGAAAATGTATATATATGCTGATTAGCATTGTAAATGTGTGGCCACGGCTGTGGTAGAAAAAAAAATGCTTATCTTAAGCTACCGCTTCCCTCCTATAATTATCACACACAACCTCTCTTTTTATATAATCTTCCAAGAGTTACCTGGCAACAGGTACATGAGGACCACGAGGTCTGTGATTCGTGAAGAATCCTCCCGGTTTGTCTGGTGTGTGTTTAAGATGTACAGTATTTTAATGTTGAACTTGAAGCGGATAACACACAGAAATCACAATTGCGTGATGCATCAAATAAACAAATCCACAAAGGCCGTGACGAGGATTCGAACCTGCGAGGATTAAGGCAGCGTCTGGGATGCTCACCAGACTTGTAATCTGTTGTCTGTGTCACGGAGCCTCAGCTTGCTTACACTTGAGAAACCCATTTGGAGGCAATGGGGTGACTTGAACCGGTGTTCCGGTGATTCCCAGACACGTGCCTTAAGCTACTAGGAATCACCAGAACGCCGGTGGTTCAAGTCACCCCCATTGCCTCTAAATGATTTTCTCATTGATACATCAAGCCATTGTGATTTCTTTGTGAGTTGCTTACATATCATCTTAGTGACCCTTTTCAAAGATTTTCTGGAAATTAAAATATATTACATCTCCTTGGAAATTGGAATATCAGTTTTTGTATATGTAAATAAATAATTCTAATAGCTCCTTTATTTTATATTATTAAGTTGTAGCCGTCTAAATATTAAAGACCATCTACCTAACAGTTCTCTAAACTACTAAACACGTTATTCATTTATCATTCATTAGCATTTTCGCCATGTCCCACTTGCCTGGGTTGAGGTAACAGCTCTAGAAAAAAAGGTCACTGTTGTCTTTATAGGAAATGAATGTTAAGTAGCTGGGTTTCCAGCCTATGGCCCCAACTTGTACAATGTTGACTGACTGGCTTGCGAGGTTGATTATGGGGTTGCTACATCCTCAGCCATTATCCATTCCAAACATTTTGGATATGATAATGTCCAACAGAAAAGACCGGACTTGATAAATGTCCGGGATTGGCCGAAACGGTTTCATTTCATCCTGTAGAAAAGTGAGCAGATATGCGTACAGGTGTATTTACTATTTGCTCCTATAATATCGAGCTGTTAGCTCCTGGAACTTAGCTCTTGGAACCCGGCCTTCCAAGTTCCTAGGTTCAGGCTTCAAATGAGATCTAGACAGGTAACAAAAGTTGTGCCAGTACAATAATAAGAGGAAAGAATTTGTGGAAATAGAAAATGAGGAAGAGTGATAGAGGTGGTGTGGGTAATGGGTGCCTGGGGGAGCGGCAGGTAGAGCCCAGGGCCATCAACTGCTGGCACCACCATCATACCTCTACGGTTACTGACCTCCTGCACCGCACCTTCCCTGCACCGCGCCGCACCGCACCGCGCCGCACCGCACCGAGCCGCACCTTCCCTGCACCGCACCGCACCTTCCCTGCACCACGCCGCACAGCCCCGCACCTCCCTGCACCGCACCGAACCGCGCCGCACCGCGCCACACCTTCCCTGCACCGCACCGAACCGCACCGCATTTAATTAACTGCCTCGCCCGGTCCAGTGATGATTTGATTATTTCGGCCAGCTACGGCTAATTTATTATGCACCCCATACTCATCCTGTGAGCCGTAGTTTATTATGCACCCCATACTCATCCTGTGAGCCCGTTGTTTATTATGCACCCCATACTCATCTTGGTGGATGTTTGACATCAACTTTTACAATTTATTTGCAAATCTTATAATTAATTATAATGTGTTGCTCACATCCGTCCTGTCTCCGTCCCGGACCCAGGAGTCCGTCTCCCGTCCATATATCACCGCACCCGTCTCTCCTGCCAGATACCGTACTAAACTGGGGCCAGATTCACGAAAGCACTTACGAACGTGTACATCTTTCCTCAATCTTTGACGGCTTTGGTTACATTTATTAAACAGTTTACAAGCATGAAAACTTCCCAATCAACTGTTGTTATTGTTATAAACAGCCTCCTGGTGCTTCGGAGCTCATTAACTGTTTAATAATTGGAAACAAAGCCGTTAAAGATTGAGAAAAGATGTACAGGCTCGTAAGTGCTTTCGTGAATCTGGATCAAGAGGTATGCTTTCTCTAGGTTTGCTTTCTCCAGGTATGCTTTCTCTAGGTATGCTTTCTCCAGGTATGCATTCTCCAGGTATGCTTTCTCCAGGTATGCTTTCTCTAGGTATGCTTTCTCTAGGTATGCTTTCTCTAGGTATGCATTCTCTAGGTATGCTTTCTCTAGGTATGCATTCTCCAGGTATGCTTTCTCTAGGTATGCTTTCTCTAGGTATGCTTTCTCGCAGTACGCTCCAGGTAACATGTTCTGTCCAGACCCGTGTCACGAAGCATTACACAAGGTTGCTAAGAATGTTGTGATAGGCTGGGGGGGGGGGAACACACAGCTGTTGCAACGAAGGTCTTTCCCAACATTATCAATTTTTGTTTATCATGGAGGTGATTGTGTAACGGGTTTTATTGTGTTTATCTATAACGTGAACGGGTGTTAAAGGCTTGGTAGCTCGCCTCTGTGACCCAGTCAGATGGCGCTTATCGCCAGAGATATTAACCATATTTATATAAAGTCTGAGACATGTGCTTGAGTGGCACTCAAGCAGCGGGGACACTATGAAGGCGATCACGACCCTCCCGCTGCTTCTCTTAGGTGAGTGGCCTCATGAATTTCTTAGATGAGTGTCTCCCATGAACTCCCATGAGGGACCTGAACTCCCCGCCTGCCTAGTTTATATTGATTTGCCACTCAGCAAAAATTGCATCTGTTCTGCCTAACCAGAAACGTATGAACCCAAGCAACCCACCGAACCTAACGAGGTCGAGGCATAACAAAGTCAACATTTCGGTGCTTTAAATGTTACTAATACGTTGCACTTCTTAACGAATTGGTCGATTCCGGTCTTTCAGGCTGTTGCGGTTGGAGCTGCCACGCCACAACGCTGTACGAGCAAGTCAAGAACCAAAATAAATCAGGTGACATATATCTCTTGAGTCTTGTCAGAAAGTTGGAGTTGGTAGGAAGTTATGGTAAATAAGAACACCTGGGATAGGGACAGGGAGTGGATAGATACCTGGGAATCTGGGATAGGGTGGATAAAAAACAATTCGGATAGGGAGGACGGGTGGATAAAAATACCTAGGTAAAGGGTAAGGGTGGATACAGGTACCTAAAATAGACGTCATCACATTGACTAAGAATAGTCGTCATCCCATTGACTAAGAATAGAAATCACCCCATTGACTAAGTGCTTACAATAACCGGAAGTTATTTTAAATTTTAAATTTGAATAATTTTAATGTCAGCCCTTCGCTGCTAATATGCAAGCCCTTTAATCATTAAAGAATGTGTAGTGGAGACATTAATAATCCCTCCACTACACATTCTGCCTCTTATATAATGGGTAACTGAGCTATCTCTTTAAATAGTAAACAATATATTTTATAATATTGGTAATGTAAACACGAACGAGGCGAGAGTACTGTTAGATTGCTATTTTTTTTAGCAATGATTCCTGGCGGATGGCTGCTACTTGTTTTGGGTGACGTATTGCAGCTTGTTTGACACCTTTCGTGAGTGTCGGTGGACGCTGCCTCATGTTCGACATGGAGAACCAAGATACGTGGGAAGAGATGCGACAAGTGTGCCAAGCTCTGCACGCCGACCTGGCCAAGGTGGACAGTGCCGACCTCCTCGCCGATATCGTCGACTACATCCACGTTCATGGTATGTGCTCCTGATCTGGTGAAACACGTTCATGGTATGTGCTCCTGATCTGGTGAAACACGCTCATGGTATGTGCTCCTGATCTGGTGAAACATGTTCATGGTATGTGCTCCTGATCTGGTGAAACACGTTCATGGTATGTGCTCCTGATCTGGTGAAACATGTTCATGGCATGTGCTCCTGATCTGGTGAAACATGTTCATGGCATGTGCTCCTGATCTGGTGAAACATGTTCATGGTATGTGCTCCTGATCTGGTGAAACACGCTGATGGTATGTGCTCCTGATCTGGTAACACGCTGTGAAACAAATACGGGGGTTGACAAATTCCTTGTGGAAGAATACAACGGGAAACATGAGACAAGCATGTTTGGGGCACCTTTTTGGAGAACAAACCACAGTCGTGTATCTTATTTACTGGATATTGTAAGAACAAGTGATACAGACACAAACCAATTTAAAGAAATAGCAGTGTGAGGGGTTATGTAGTAGAGCACGCTAAATAAGAAAGTGGTAATCGATTTGAGAATGGTCCAGGACGGACCGAAATGTCATCGTCCCTTCACTTTCTAGTGTGTGGTTTGGTCAACATATTTCAGCCGTTACTGTGACTCCTCGTCTGCAAATAGTGGTAGTTAAACACGTAACATATATGTTACATTTATGTATTTAATTTACAGATCTACCGGCTACTTTCTACGTGGGAGGGAGGTACAAGGAGGTGGCGGGTGAATGGCAGTGGGTAGACGGTACCAAGGTGAGGATGGGCACCCCGAGCTGGTACCCCTACGACGATGGTACCCAGGAGCCTAGTGAGGCATCTGATGCTTATTGTATTATTATCTATAGGTATAGGCAATACTATCTTGCTTCAAGCATGTGTACTAACTTATTCTCGGCTATATGTGAAGCGACGTAACGAAATAAGCCGAATGAAAATGAATTATATGAAATGAGAGCATCAAGCAGCCTCGTCCAAGGAATAATGGACGCGAAACGTCTTACCGCCTTAGTTACTGCTGTTATCGCTTACACTTTCTACTATCTGATGCACGTTTTCTCATGTTCACTACTGGCGGAAACCCTCTTTTGCAATTCACGTATAAATCACACATCAGATTAAATATATTTTTCATAATTTTTAAACAACTGCATCTTTTATCACACAACGAATATTCAAGTCAACATTTCACACTAACTGGTGAAGCATTTTTATAAAATCAGGTGCACATGCCAAGGTAAACATTTTCCAGAATAGAATGCATGGACAAATTATAGTAAATATGTGCTAGATACTACTTAAGAAAATGTAATCTATTGTTAATATTCTATGGTATTTTATTATCCAGTTTTATGTAGAATGAATGACTATAATCCCAAATAATTGTTACAAGTAGACTATAAACTTGCAAAGGTAGCGACCTAAAAGGTTCCCTAGAAATGTACTTATAATCTTATCTGAGACTACGGGTCCTCATTTTAACCAGTGATGGTACCCTTATATGTACACAGACATGTCAGGAGAACCAAAGCACACAAATGAACAACATATTTACGATGAATGAGGGGTAAATATACATATGTGAGAACTATCTGCAATGAAAGCGACAAAGCTCTCTCATGGGTAACGAAAGAGGTGACAAATCCTAGTAATCGAATACAGTACAATGATACCTCAGTCAAGTCTGGAAAGCTGCCAAATAGTTGGAAAATGTGTGAGCTTTTTATATTTTTTTATTGGCTTGTTCTACACTTCCTTTGAGGAAGATATTACGCTTTTTTAAATGTTGTTTAATATCAACCAAGCTTTTTTTGCTAGTTGTATATAAGAAGGGGTGCAACTGTTCAACGTTTCAGTATCGCACCCTACATAGAAAGGGAGATATATATTTTTTTTTCCAACGAATTTTACCCATTTTCAATAATTAACTACAACCACACGTTTCAAATGACATCATTTCTATGACACTCATATATCATATTAGCATATAATAAAGGATTTGGCTAAAAAGTATTATCTAAAATATGTTTATTTTTACTAATACAAGTACTCAAAGTTCCCCAAAAAATATATGCCAATATTTCATGTTTGCAAATATTTTTAAAATCAATAAATGAACTTAGGAGTAAAGTGTTTTAGGATTATTGAAGAGACATCAACTCTACATATAAGGTGTAAATTTCATGTAAATTGAAACAAATGAAAGAGGAGATGCAATTTTGTTACTTGAAATAAATAAGATCAAACACTCTGCCACCTGTGGTTGAAGTTGACTTCAACCAATTTCCTCCAAAATTTGCATCGTTTCAGATAGGCATACGTTTTGTAAGGTGTATAAGTTTCATGCAAATCGGCTGATAAAAAATAAAAAAAATGAGGAAAAATCTATTTTTTTTTTATTTTGGCATAAAACTGAATATTAAAATACTTTATTATATGCTATTGTGATAGCTTAGAGTCATAGACATAATTTCAGTTGACACTTTTGTTTTATGTTAATTTTTGACCATTTTGGAAAATTTTTGAAACATAATTCAATTTTTTTTCTCCCTTCCTATTTATGCTACGATGCTGAGACTTGGGCCAGTTGAAACAAATTGTATATACAACTAGTCAAAAAGTTTGGTTGATATTAAACAACATTTAAAAAAGCGTAATATGCCCCCTTGAGGACGAGACCATCCAGGGCTCTCGGATTGTGGCAAGTGGTTCAAGAACCATGGATCCAACTCATCGAATAGGGGGGGGGGGGGAAAGTGAGTTATCTCATTCAAATGCCTTTATTAATTAAATTAGACAAGCAGTTTAACATTTGGATGGTCACATACGCTAGGAACACAGATGACCTTTAATTATCCTGCCTTAAAGCCGAGTATGTTGGAATGATAAGTTTTCATTTTCCATTGGAATCTATTCTGGATCATTATTTGCTTTGAATCTACTGTACAGTACAAAAGTAATATGGAACGGTATTTGCCCACTAATTTAATCTTGGTAATTGTAATATATTATTAGTTTCTTACAATTTACATGGGAACTTACCCTTTTCCAATTGCTTCTTAGTTATTTATCTATTAATTATTAATTTATATATACTCCACTGTTTCTTAAACTGCTTGTGCTTTTCATTTTAGAACTAGCCTGACAGTGGTTGTGCAAAAGCGTTGCTTCCCATTATTGGCTCACAGGATGTTCATGGATTCCACAATAAATTAATGAGCACAAGAAGTAGAGAATAAGACTAAACAGAACCATGTGATGATCAAACCACAAATCAGAAAATTAAAAAGCTAGTCTTCTTCATTTTTGTAATTTCTTCCACCCCTCTTATCTGCTAAGATCCAGGAACTCCCTTTCACCACAACCAGACAAGCCAGGGTCATTCAAAGATTCTCTCTCTCTCTCTCTCCTCCACCACGGCAAGTGCTTGACCCCTGCAAATGTCGTACAGTAACGACTTTCTCTAAACTATTAGCCAGCCACCATTTTCTTAAATATTAACATAACCTATAGTGAACAAATCCACAAGGGCCGCGACGAGGATTCGAACCTGCGTCCGAGATCATATAGTGTAACCTTCTAGCTTCCTTCCCATTAACACCTTTCTTATTATCCCCTCAAAATAGGCTAGAAGTTTACAACGTCACACGTTGGCAGTACTTTAGACAAACTGACACTCCTATATCTGTCATTTTACTTGCTCGTACTCCAACCCTTGTTCCTTAAACACACAAGCTCCCAGGGTCGTAACAATGTGAAAGGGGGTTACGGCAGGGAAGCAACCCAAGAAATAATCTACTCCAACAGTATAATTCGTCTATAATGTGAAATCTATCACTTTATCATTCTTTATGGGAGCCGGTCGGCCGAGCGGACAGCACGCTGTACTTGTGATCCTGTGGTCCCGGGTTCGATCCCGGGCACCGGCGAGAAACAATGGGCAGAGTTTCTTTCACCCTATGCTCCTGTTACTTAACAGTAAAATAGGTACCTGGGTGTTAGTCAGCTGTCACGGGCTGCTTCCTGGGGGGTGGAGGCCTGATCGAGGACCGGGCCGCGGGGACACTAAAGCCCCGAAATCATCTCAAGATAACCTCAAGAAGAAGATCATACGATACAATAAAAAATAAAGTATAGAACTAGACACACCTACTAGTCCATGTAGACAATCTCTGGAAAACTTTGGCCGTCTCGGTATCGTCCAAAACGCCTGGAATACGTTGAATATTTTCACTGAGCCAAACTATCTGCCGACAGAACTGCTCTCATGTTGATCAGCGTCCTTCGCTGCACAACACGGCGGCTGGTCATTGCCTCATACCCAGGCAGCACCAAGACAAACACACATATAGAGCTGTAAGTAAGGAGGACAGACCGATGTTGTTGACACTTGTCTCAAACTGGACACTGGTGGGTTTCCCAGGCAGTGTTGCCACGTGCCCCACCACGTCACCTTGATATATCAAGCATTTTAATCCAAATATATCGGAAATTATTATCATTATTATAAACTACATTACTGCAAATGATGCTATCAGATATAACATGATGAACGTATTAATGTATAAAGAGTATGTATATGTATTTATTGCCATGTTTTAAAATCTAAGGGAAACTTGCGAAACCTATTAAAACATGTAATACAAATTATTCTTTCACGAAAGGTGAGGAGGCAAATAAATCCACTAACTAGAAAGTATTATGACGGTAAATATACAGTTTAGTTCATTAATTAAACACCTCATACCTATCCTGTAGCGGTACTGGTGTAACGGGGGGTGGGGGAAATAGCTCTATCTTGTCCATTATTCCACCCCCCAGTTAACTAACGAGGCCGGGGGAAACAGCTCTCTCTAGTCCGTTATCCCGTCCCCAGTTAGCTAACTATTCTAGAGCACTCCCAGAGTTCCTAAGGCAGCCTCTCTCGTTCAACACCTTGTAACCTAGGTATTCGACTACCTAGGTGCTAAGACTACAAGGCGCCGTCACTTGATCAGCTACCCGAAACTCTAGAGAGAACTCTAGAATACAGAATCATTGCCACAAACGTAAAAGAGAAAACGAAAGGAAAGAAATGAATAGTGAAGTAATTAGTGAGGGTTTGGGGTGAGAGGGAGAGAGGTGGGAGGGGCGAGGAGGGTCATTAGTTGAAAGTGAGAGTTTAGAGAGGGGTGGAGGGAGAGGAATAGATAGGTAGTAGGAGAAGAGTAGATAGTAGAAGTAGAAGAGTAGATAGTAGAAGACGAAATGCTGCCACCATCCATTCATGATCATTACATACAAGACAAGGAATGGAACTTGCCTGTATCACAAAATTCTCAAAAGATGTTATCATGAGTTCATTATTAGTATGTTCCCTCTGTACCATGTATCAACTCCAAACATGTATTCATTAATATCATGAAACCAATAACCACAGAGGCTTTCTCACCTCAACTCAAAGCTCTAGGGAACAAAGTTAAACACAATTTAAATAATAAATTCACAATTATATTTCCCATGAAGTATCATAATTTAAGCAATCCAATTAAAATGTTCCAGTTTAATATGCAAAGTGAGTCATCATCCAAGAATTCGAGAACCCTACAACTTGACTGCCCCTGATCATCACACAACACTTGTAAACACGACCAAGTCACCTTACTGCTCAACTCACCAAGTGTCTCTGCCTATAGCTGGATAGAGAGGGGGGGGGGGGGTCTGTAGTTGACAGAGACTCCCGCCCTGCCGGCCGACAGCCTCCCTGCTCTGCTCGTCTGCTGTTCTCTTGATTAATGCTTCTTTCTGGATAGCTCTCCGAGTTTATATTGGGGAACCTAGTAGCTAACTCCGCCCACAAATAGATAGCCTCCGGCACTACCAAGCCACTCCTTAAACGTCGGCTTGTTTGAAGGCTACCAGACTACAATTAAGAGCTTAGCGGAAGCAAGGTGAAATTCTCATGATCTGACCTCAGGTCACTTGAGGTCATTAACGCTTTGAGGTGTGAGATCTCAGGCAGACAACTGGCGCCTCTCAGATCCTTGTCTGTGACTCATGTACTCTATATATATTTTAAATAAACTAACCCAAACACTTTTACAGTGTTACATCTCCCCTTCTCCCCGAAAATAAAGTTTTTGCAACACTGCTAAAGCAAGCTAGCTGTGTGCGACAACTTTATTAACGAAAAGAATACATCCTAGCTAAACAAATATACATCATCCTACTCTAAAAAATGAAATATATAGACAGACGTCCATTGTCTCTGGCTGGGCGACGTCACTGCTTGGTCTTGTAGATAATCCTGTACCACATTTCTTCAACACAACTGCCTCCGTCGCTTCTCCGTCGTTAACGCACAACAACACTTGGTCAACCCGAAAGCCGTTACTACTTGAACTGAGCACAGGACCGTGGAATTCGGTTGTCCCAGCTGATCTGTAATTGGCCCTACGTCAGTCACCATGAGAGACGTATATTGGGGTTCTTCACAGCTATAGGGACTACAAGTTTCGAGACCTTCATATAGTTGCCAACAGTAGAAATCCCATCCTACTCTTCTTCCTCCCTGTTGCTCCAGCACGCCTCCTTCAGAGAGCTACTTCTGACAGCCACATCAAGTCCGCATGACACAGGAAGAATCACTCAACAGAGCAACATGCTTGTAGGAGGGGCGGCCAGTCAAGGCAAACGATCCTGTCTTGCAATTACGCTCCATGCAATAATGCTGACACCAGCAAGGGACACTAGGTATCGTGTCTCAGCTTGGCTTATCTTCTTCTTTCTTCTCTCTTCTTTCTTCTCTCTTCTTTCTTCTCTCTTCTTTCTTCTTTCTTCTCTCTTCCTCCTCCCATGGGTCTTTGACAAGCGACCTGGGGTCCATTGGGGGTCTGTCCGTCCTGGGGTCCATCCTGGGTAGACCGATGTTGGTGGGACAGACTGGAGTCGTTGTTGCTCCTCTTCCATCATTACTGGGTCGTCTGGGGTCGTCTGCAGAACGACCTGGGGTCCACTGGGGGTCCGTCCGTCTTGGGGTCCACTGGGGTCCGTCCGTCTTGGGGTCCACTGGGGTCCGTCCGTCTTGGGGTCCACTGGGTAGACCAATGTTGACCGACCGAGAGGGCTGCATCTTGGGGTCCCCTGGGGTGGTGGTGGTGGTGGTGGCCCTGACATCCAGGTAGGGGCTGGTCGTCGTGGTGGTGAGGAACAGCCGTGAGTGTGGTATAAGGCAGCCGTCTCCCTCTTCTGTATGTGCGTCTCTCCTCTCTTCTGGCTCCCACCTGTGAAATGAACAGAAAGGCGACAATACGTGTTCCCAAGATGTTTGTGTGACCCTGTCGTTTGTATAGGGTTACACAGTCCTATCATACCGCTCTCCTCCTGGCAACAACTACACTTCAATTTTTAATAATTCAATTAACTCTGAATGATATTGACTTGGTGGAACATAAAACAGTAACAGAGTAAAGTTAGAGAAGAGAGAATAAGGTCATCACTACTTTTAACTTGTCACAAAAAAAAATCAACACTAATAGACAAACACTAGCCTCACTTAACTGTACCTTTCCTAATCTTAAGTACATAATTAACCGTTACTCCCACCCTTAACCTACAGCCACCTACGTGACCCAGAGTGTTTTCCTAGCTTCTCCGCCGGTCAACAACTCCCAACTGTTGCCACCCCTGTGACCAGACTATCTAACGTCGAGCGTCCCCAACGTGAAGTCTACTGACATACTAAGCCTCCTCCTAGCATGCTGTACAAGACCAGTACACCTCGGGTTATTGCGTTCAAATGGAGTAAAACAGTCGATCGCAATAATCTGAGCAGAACCACTAAAAACTACTTAAAATCTATTTAAGAACTACACCTGCCACTCCCCACTGACCTGGAGACCAGCGGTGGCTGGGTGTCCCCCTGGGACATGCGAGGTCACCTGTCACACTCAACTGACCTGCACTACCAACACCGCTAAGTTCCCAAATCGCCAAATCTTATTACTAACATTAATCACTACACACGCAAGTTCTGGTGAACATTCCCTGAACTTCACAAAACTCACAAAATCACTAAACACAACACCAGAGAATCACAATCTCCTAGCCTGAAAAAGAAACTCGCTAAATCGCGAATAATAAACACCTGTCAAGATCTCCCTGATAGCGCCTGAGCGGCAAAAAGACACGTGGGACTGAACAATGTTCAAAAGAACACCAACATAAACATTGTTCAACACCGCTGCCATCATTGTAACGGGGGGGTGGGGGAAATAGCTCTATCTTGTCCATTATTCCACCCCCCAGTTAACTAACGAGGCCGGGGGAAACAGCTCTCTCTTGTCCGTTATCCCGTCCCCAGTTAGCTAACTATTCTAGAGCACCTCCAGAGTTCCTAAGGCAACCTCTCTCGTTCAACACCTTGTAACCTAGGTATTTGACTACCTAGGTTCCAAGACTACAAGGCGCCGTCACTTGATCAGTTACCCGAAACTCTTGAGAGAACTCTAGAATACAGAATCATTGCCACAAACGTAAAAGAGAAAACGAAAGGAAAGAAATGAATAGTGAAGTAATTAGTGAGGGTTTGGGGTGAGAGGGAGAGAGGTGGGAGGGGCGAGGAGGGTCATTAGTTGAAAGTGAGAGTTTAGAGAGGGGTGGAGGGAGAGGAATAGATAGGTAGTAGGAGAAGAGTAGATAGTAGAAGTAGAAGAGTAGATAGTAGAAGACGAAATGCTGCCACCATCCATTCATGATCATTACATACAAGACAAGGAATGGAACTTGCCTGTATCACAAAATTCTCAAAAGATGTTATCATGAGTTCATTATTAGTATGTTCCCTCTGTACCATGTATCAACTCCAAACATGTATTCATTAATATCATGAAACCAATAACCACAGAGGCTTTCTCACCTCAACTCAAAGCTCTAGGGAACAAAGTTAAACACAATTTAAATAATAAATTCACAATTATATTTCCCATGAAGTATCATAATTTAAGCAATCCAATTAAAATGTTCCAGTTTAATATGCAAAGTGAGTCATCATCCAAGAATTCGAGAACCCTACAACTTGACTGCCCCTGATCATCACACAACACTTGTAAACACGACCAAGTCACCTTACTGCTCAACTCACCAAGTGTCTCTGCCTATAGCTGGATAGAGAGGGGGGGGGGGGGTCTGTAGTTGACAGAGACTCCCGCCCTGCCGGCCGACAGCCTCCCTGCTCTGCTCGTCTGCTGTTCTCTTGATTAATGCTTCTTTCTGGATAGCTCTCCGAGTTTATATTGGGGAACCTAGTAGCTAACTCCGCCCACAAATAGATAGCCTCCGGCACTACCAAGCCACTCCTTAAACGTCGGCTTGTTTGAAGGCTACCAGACTACAATTAAGAGCTTAGCGGAAGCAAGGTGAAATTCTCATGATCTGACCTCAGGTCACTTGAGGTCATTAACGCTTTGAGGTGTGAGATCTCAGGCAGACAACTGGCGCCTCTCAGATCCTTGTCTGTGACTCATGTACTCTATATATATTTTAAATAAACTAACCCAAACACTTTTACAGTGTTACACTGGGGCAAGACTGACAAATTTTAGCCATTTAGAGACAAATCTGAACTCAAGCTGCATGACATGGCTAACATCTTATTACACACTCAGAATGTTCGGTGTAAGATTATTGTTCGTGATGAAAATTGCTTGAGCTACCGCATTCCTTTGTGTGTATTTATACCTCAATAAACTTATTTGAATTTCAATTTCAATTTGAATCTTATTGCTAGTGACAACATTTCTGAAGTCCCTGTATTGTATTCATATTTTGTTTCTAGTATATAAATGACATATCTGAGACCAATATATAAGCTGTGAAGTTTGAAGACTAATGATTGAAAGATTAGAACATTTGAAGACAATGATTCTGTAATACCCGTATATAAATTATTTAAGTACCTTCCTTCATTGTATAATAATTTAGTGTAAATACATACATGTTGCATTGCAAAAAGTTTGTAACTAGTTGACATTATAATGATATGGTGTGCAGGTTAGATGCAATTGTTAATGTAAAAATCTCCGCTGAGATCTGATTAAGACCTTTTGTGTCCTCTGTATTCCTTTTTTGAGCTTCCGCTCACAGGATGATTATGGGGTGCGTAATAAACTAGCCGCCTCCAGCGGCAACAATTAATCGTTGCTACTAATTTTTTGAAACCCCCCTTCGAATGTGAGTGAACATAAGAATCAAAATACGGAAACTCTTTTTCGAGAAAAAGCTTTGAACGTAGCAATTATGGCTACAGGTAAAACCTTTGCCGGAGCTGGAAACTCATGTAACCTATAACGCTCCTCGGACCAAATGTGGAAGCCATGCTAAGTTAGGAATATATATATAGTAAAAGCCAGAAAGTGAGGCTTCCCCAAGGTTCACAAGTTGTGAAGGCTGGACTTAGACACATCTCTTTCGGGGACTTCTTCCTCCTCTTCACTGCCTGTAGAAGACAATTGCTTCCTGAGACGTGAGAACTAGCTCACTTTGTTTTCAAAATAAAAAAATAAAAAATAAATATAACATTTCGATTTTACTTGTGTAGCTTACTATTGTCTTATCTTGAACAGCTAAACCACTCCTCTGTAGCCTATGAAATTGTGTACTATTTAGAATAGGATAGCATTGTATTATGCTATATGACAATATGTTGTATTATACTAAAATGTGAATGTTTTGTTACCTCTAGCTTCAAGAGTATGATCTCTAATATAATATTGGCAAAACGGGGCATGCTGCACTTAGTTATCTTTACCCAACTATCATCATATGCTTACCCTAGTTACCCAAAACACACTTATCTCTTCTTATCCATTTTTCCCAGTCCTCCTGAGAGTTCCCAACGTCACTAAACTGTTATACTAAAGGGCTCGAACCTAACCAACCCGAGGATCCATAAACAAAACACGGGACATCACGTTAATCTTGCGAGCCGCTACCATTTTAAGTTCATCAGCTTTTGCCATTAGGTAAAGTATACGCTAAAATGCGATGATGTGCTATAAAGAGGTACAGCACCGCTTCTGTGCCAGGTAAGTCCACTACGGGGTCATCATAACCCGTGCTACTTGCCCCGCTCCTGTGCCAAGTAAGTTACGGGCTCACCATAGCCCGTGCTACTTGGAACTTGTTCCGAGTAGCTGAATCTATAACAACATGCTATAAAGGAGGACGGGTTGCCAGTTCCACCATGATACAAGGGCCAAACATAAATACAACGGGTCTGTAGTAACGACCTTGTGGTACCAGCGGTGGTTATGAATCTTAGGGATGTGATAGCATTACTCTCTAGCTGTGGTCGACATTATTATGAGCGCTTTTAATCATAAATTTGTATAGTTATTTCGCTCTTCGGGATGATAAATCATAATACTTTAAGGCGTCAAAAAAGCTTTGAAAATACAAAATGAGTAACAAGCTATATAGTAAACTGTAAATTGTAAAATAAATGTTAAGTTAACGGTTAATTCATTACACATTTTATTCGCTAACACATTAGGACAGAAATAACACATTGTGGCGTCCCCCTTTTTTACGAGTCCATAGCTTTTTCACTGCAACTACACCCTTGTATTTCCATTCTGTTATTAATGTAAATAAACTACTGTACAATTGCTCTTCTAACCTTTCATCCGACGCCCACTGCATGGGGTGTTCATTATAAGCAAATTAAATTATGAAACTAGCTCACCACATCAGTTGCTTAGCATAGAGATTGTACTTGTGGTTGTTTTTGAACCTATTGGTCATATAATATAATTGAACTGTGTAACTAGCTTATCAGACTATAACTTGCTTAGCTACATGAATTTTGTGGTTCAGTCCCTGAGCCTTTTATGGCTCATGTAACCTTTTCCACTACCGCCCACAGGATGGGTATGGGGTGCATAATAAATGAACTAAACTAATTATTATTATTATTATTATTATTATTATTATTATTATTATTATTATTATTATTATTATTAGTATTGTTATTATTATTATTATTATTATTATTATTATTATTATTATTATTATTATTATTATTATTATTATTATTATTATTATTATTATTATTATTATTATTATTTATTATTATTATTTATTATTATTAATTTTATTATTAGAATTTTTTGTCCGTGTTGTTATATAATGCTGGAAGGTCACTGGGTTTGTCTCACATTCACAAATTGCTTAAATAACGCGACTGCAAATGGAAATAATAACGTAAAATAAGTTTAGTTTTAACTGAATAACGTAATTAATCCTGATGGTTTTATTTGAACTATTGTGACATTAGTTATGTATTTAAAGCATTAAATTGGCAACGAATGCGACATGTTTACTCCCGTCATGGGCTACAGCGGAGGCGAAGGTGTTGCATCAGGTGTGTGGCGTCTTCCACCTTATTTCTCACAATTACTCCCATATTTCTTGCACTTGAGCGACATTTTTAATATCACTAGTCGAGGTAAGAAGGTTACGAAGTTTCTCCAGTTATCTGCTAATGTTTATTGTGCGGGAAAATACTATTCTAAGCTCATGGGGTGGGACAGTGATTTCGTGATCATTATCAGGGCCCATATTTGTTTTGTTTTATTTTAATAATAATAATTAGTTTTAATGCTTGTAAAAGCCATTTATAAATGTGTGGGAGGTTGGGAGTGATGTGGTTAGTTTGGCTTCAGATAAAGCCCTTACAGGCAACATGTTATCTATTATTAAAGTTCTACATACTGTACAGTTTTTTTTTTTATTTATTTCTTATAAATAGGCATGAGTAGGTTGTTTTAGGGTGCTGCTAGAAAGAATCATTGTTAGTTTTTTTTTTTTAACCCTGAAAAGTGGCATATGATTTTATCACCAACAGATGGCTGCACATACTTGGCTATTTATTATGACGAGAGGATCTGGTTTATAAGATATAAAAACTTTATTTTTTTTTTTTTTTTTTTTAGCCTAGACTCTTGGACACAGGTAGTTTTGTCACTCTGAACGGTCAAAACTGACAAGCAACTATAATAATGTTTTTTGTGGACAAAGAGTTATGTTTTTTGTGGACAAAGAGTTAAACTCTATTCTTCGTTTGAGATCTGTTGATTATATATAAATAAATATTTACTTCAGTGCAAGAAAATCGACTATGAATTTAATTTGGTTAATATTTAAAGAATGCATAATACTGTATGAGCTTATGTTTATTAGATTATTAAGAAGTATCATTTTCTCCTACTCTAGGAATATTGCTATACACCAGTATCATGGCAGCCATTATGGTATATTAAAATCTACATGTTTATAGGAATTACTTATTAATGTGAAATGCCAATATGTTTCCTAATATGATAAAATAATAATGAATTGCTGTCTAGCTATAAGAATATCTATAGCTTTCTAACCATCAGAACATATCGTCTTTAAGGGGGTGACTAATTAAATTGCAGAAGTACGTAAGACTTTGTAGGCTATGCGACATTTTTTTTTATTTTTCCACTGTTAGAAGTTGAATTGTGTGAAACATTATGGTTTCCCTGATTTTATAATCATCCTAGGTGATGAGATTTGATAATATTTTTCATAAAATATTAATTATTAATTACACAGATGGAAATGGCTGGCCATGGGCGACCGATTGTGGATGCAGAGGAAGTGAATAGAATGGAGAGATCAGTGTTTCCAGTTGCCCTCACCAGCCGTCTCCAGACTAACACTTGGCGCCAAGTGTTTACATCTCTGCGACCTCTTGTAGCGCACACACGTCAGAGAACACTCAGTACTTACGCTCGCAGGTACTATATGTATACTGTATATATGTACTGTTGAACTATGCATATACAATGTATGTGTATATATGTAGAGTGACGACATCAATATTTGCACTAGCACCATTCCTTCTCTCCATTTTATCCCTAATCCTTATCCTCATATGTCTTTTGAAAGCTACATGTTTGTAATGGCATTGTGCATTCTTCTGATAATTACCTTTTTAAGTACCTTATAAAATACTTTCAGTAGGACTTGGTATTCTACCTGCAGTTGAACAAATTTTTGGAGGTGTTCATAAATTTTAATTTATGAAGACCTTTAATTTTTCTAGTCAAGAAAAATTGACTAGATTAGTAGTTATCGAAAGTGAATAAACAATTATAAAAATTAAAGTCATACATGACAAATGCAAGATTTCTTGAGCTTTTCAAGCTTAGTTTAGACAGATATATGAATAACTGTGGTTGGATGTAACTAGGATCTGCCTCACATGGGTCAATAGGCCCTCTGCAGTTTCCTGAATTCTTATGTTCTTCGCACACACACACAAGAAATGTTCTAATTAAGCATACTGTACCTTAACAAGTGTATAACATAAACTCACTGCAGAGATAAACTAAATTTTGCAAGGATGAAAATGAGGTTTCTCCGGATGAAAAGAAAAACACTTGACTGAATCTTGTCTCAAACCTGCTCATCACAGGGAAGTGTTGAGAAGAATGTGATGGCTCAAGTTAGATGATCTGAAGTCGATGCTGGTGCTGCTATCTGGTGGCAGTCAGGGACTAGTGCCCAGATTAGCAACTGGAAGTTTGTGAGAGTACTGCACAACTTAGTTGTACTGTACAGTACAGTACAACTTTGGCATTGTGCGCCAAATATGGTTTGGAAGGCTTAAGATTGTTTATGAATGAACTGTCTGTAGTAATTGTGTACAATGTTTGGAAAGATTTCTGTTGTGCCAGTGCAGCATGTTGCCCCCACACTATCACAGTTCTATCCAAAGGGGACCTTGTTTTAAGGAGCATGAGTGCCATGCTCTGAATGATCTTTTGTGTTAACTCTGCCAGATTTTTAGGTGCTGGAGGTAGAAATGCCTATTTCTTGAAGCATATTAAAAAGAATGGTTTCATGTTTTTGTGTGTGTATACAGAAATATACACAGATGCACCCCAATTATCATAATTCATTGAAACCAGATACAGTACTGTCCAATAAGTCCATAGTGTCCTAATCCAGAGATAATTATTTGCACATTTTGATATAAATATCACATAGAAAAGTATGTTTTATATAATTTATCGTAATTATAAAAAAAATTGTCAGCAATTCTTGGTAAGTTGGATTTTCTCATTTATAAAGTTTCTGTAGTTGTATATAACTTTATATTATTTCCTCCAAATAGGCTTCACCAGCAACAACATAGTATTCAGTCCAGACGACCTCAGCACGAAGGTGAAGAGCAAGCACATCTTTACATTCCCCCACCAGACTTACATGCTGAAACTAATAGGGAAGGAAGAGGAACTGAGGGCAGACATAATGTCATTATTGACATAGAGTCTGGTGACAGTCCAGTTAGACATTCCCCAAACATTCCTGGCATTTCAGCTCTCTCACAGTTGGCACATCCTGAACAACATACTTCTAACCATACTGCTGAGAATGTTACTGCTTCTTCAGGTGCCTCCAATGCCACTGAGAATGAAAGTTCCTTCACTATTTCTGCTGAAGCAAATCCCCTGTTATCAAATGGAAATTCAGATGTAGCTGCACCTGTAGGAGAAATTGGGAATGTTGCAGATACAACTGGTGGGGATGGCACTGGTGCCTCTCCCAACCGGTAAGTTTGTTTATTTGTTATTTAATGTAAACATACTATTTTATAGAATTAATAAGGAAGTTTATAAAAGCATATTTTTATGTAACTAATAGTTTATTAAATATCTGAGCATATTCAATCTGTTTCACTTTGGGAACAGTAGAGTTTTTATTTTTGAAGCATTGTCATTAAAGATATTAGTATAACTTCAGATTATCTTCTCCCAAGTAGGCAGCATCTTCTTTACTTCCATTTTATTAAAATTAGCAAGTGGAATTCATTAAAAAATTACAGTTCTCTTTCAGATGTGTTGTACTGTATTTAACATTTAGATGCAGTTTAAATGATTTTGAATATAACTATTCAATGCCAACTCCCCCACCCCCACCCCTCCCCCAAGAAATTGAGTTCCCATGGGAAGCAACATATCTAAATATCAGTATGTAAGCCATTATATATTTCAATATATAAAGATCATGCAATGCAGATTTGCTTCCCACTTAAAACTGCATTATATTATATACTGTTTTAACCCTCAAACCTCATGCCAAAATTCTGTACTTTGCTCCTCATAAGCATAAAAATATATACAAAATTAAAAAATTTCTTATTTTGTTAATTAGCTTCAGAAAGCACAAATATCATAAAATTGTCTACGGATTGCGGTTTATCTGTAGTGGATTCATGAAATTCCAATATTTTACTCGCTGAAGGTTGTGGTGGGTGGTGTTGGTGCTGAACGTTGAGGTGGGGTGCCACGTGGCAGTTTCTCTTTCCATATTTATCCACCTTGGTGAGAAGAAATATTGCCAATAACATTTGAGCATTTGTGGAAAAAATGCAATAATAACAGGGTACAGTACTGTATATAATGTTCCATAATAATACTGTTGCTTACTTTCTGCATACTATTATTGATCTTACCAAGTAAGATCGAAACGCTATGCGCTTGCCCGAAACGCTATGCGTACTAGTGGCTTTAGGTATTGTATGTACTACCTCTATCTTTAAATCTAACAGAATGTTTGTAACTCTGCAACTATGTACAGTATGTACTGTTCCTAAATAAATTATTATTATTATTATAATAGTAATAATAAGTGAATTACAGAGGAGTTCACAGTGAGGAGCTTATTTGGCAAGTGGGAGATGTATTTTGAATATTAAATAACTTTTCATTGACTTAGTCTAATGTTACTTAAATGTGACTCATCATTTTGTTTTGATAGTAGTGACGGTGAATCTTTGACGGAGCTGCTCAGCCAGTTCCCAGAGGTTCGGAGTGGACTCTTGGTCGCCTGGCAATACTGTATCTTTTTCTTCATAATTCTTGCCAAAGCTGTGTTTGATCATGTGACTGGTAAGACATTTATATTTCGCTCTTCAGTTTAATCTGTTTTGGAATTTATAATTTCTTTTTGTTACTTTATAATACTGTAACTTCCTTTTGCTCTGATATGGATTCATTCAAGTAATTTCTCATTGCTGTGCTTGATGCTTATTTGACACAGCGATTTGTTTTATATTCTGTTTTCCCGTAGACATTTTAACACTATAGCAGTCAAACTCCTTGCCACATACCCAATGGTAAACATTCTGGGCCTTTTAAGGCCCTGTTCAGTGATGCTTAAGATGTTTAAACTTTTTTTATGACAAACATGATGTTAAGAAGTTTTCAAATGCATGTTCTAGAGTAAAGATAGAAAAAAAGTATGGATAACAAATGATGTATCATAGCACTGAATATGTGACTTTAGACATTTCAACATTCCTCATTTATTTTTAAACATACAAAAAATATAGAAATGTGCATACATTACTGGTCTATATAGCTGTAAAAAGAAAATGAACATAATCTTTATATTTGTTTCCTTTAGATAATTTGCTAAGCAAAGAGCTTAATAATGGAGTCTACAAAACTCTCAATTCCTGCAGGGCTGATGGTCATCCTAACATTAATTGTTGGGTTTTTATGGAGTAACAATATTGTGAAGAAGGCAGTAGCCCAACAGGGTAGACGTCCCATCAAACCACTTCTGGCATTGCTAGTGAACCTACCAGCTGGTGTGTTCTTTCTCTACTACTCGTACCGAAATGACAAGTTGTTCTACAGGTAAAGATACTACAATTATAAAATTTACTTGCAAACAAAATTGTTTAACAAAATTTTAGGCAATAAAATTCACTGTTTAATTTTGATCCTATATTTTTGTTATCCATGCAAGAGTAGTGTGTGTGTTTAAATAAATGTTGTAGTTTTTTTAAAAGTCTGTGTTTTCTTGACAGCTGTGAACTGTTTGCCATTTAAATTTGTATAATGTAATCAAAAGTTCGCGTTAAAATTTGTGTCTAATATACATTTTGCATTTATTGTTATAGTGCTCTGCTAATTCCTCCCGACCATGAGGGGTATGGAGTTATGGACCTCATGTGGATTGTCATTGTGTCCGACTATGTTCTCAAGCTAGTGACGGTGCTTGTGAAGACAGTCATTACTCTTATGCCGCATTCCATCATGCACTACCAGAATAGGGTATGACTTTTAACAGTATGAGGCTAAACTATACTAAATTATACTAAACTAAACTAAACAAGTACTATAATAACATCTTGAAACATGAGTGGAAATCAATTGTAAAGATATCATATTCATATAAAAATTCATAAAATTTGTGGATTTGATTAATAAAAATTTGTGAATTTGCTTAGGATGTTGGGACTGAGTTCACAGATGGAGGCAACATTACAACTAATAGTTGGTGACTGGAAAGTCACGGAGCATACTTAAACCCAAATTCTTTGCTTTTTTTCTGCTGCAGAGGTTTTTGTTATGGACCCCTTTTTCCATTGAAAATAAGATTTTGAGGCAAGATCATAATATGCTAGGTGTAGTTGAGTCTCTTTATAGACAGGTTCTCTTGGAAGTTGTCCTTCATATGACAGGGTGAAATTAAAATTTTGCTCAATGAAAGCAGCAAATAGAACATGGGAAATATCAGGGTATAAATGGTAACACATTTAATGTGGCTCCAAATCACATTTTTTGATAATTTTTCTAGATGGGCTCAACATTACAAGAAACAGTTGGAGCCTTGAGAAAGCAATTGGAAATATTTAAAACCAATTTTTTTTTTTTTTTTTTTGAGTTGGCAAGGTTTTTGTTCACTCAGATATGCCCCCTCCATAGTGTTTCTTTGTCGTAGTGAGGGGGCTTGCATACACCTCCCAGGGACCGTTGAGGGTTACCTTCACCCCCTTTCCTACCTCTCGTTGTACAGAATGTTGTACAAAGTTATACATGTAAACGAGCACAAATGTAGGGGGCTTGTTAGTCAATTGACCACTCGCTGGAAGGGTCGCCTGTGAGGAGCTGCCCTAAGTGGATGATTGGGTGTCCAGGCTGGGGCTAAAGGGAGAATGGGGCCTTTGCACCAGTGTGAGAGAATGGATGAAGCAGTAGGACTTCCCTGTTAAAAAGGGGAAGCACTGCTGCCCTCTTCCTGCACTGGCCAGTGCTCGACCTTCCCTGGCTGCCCTCTTCCTGCACTGGCCAGTGCTCGACCTTCCCTGGCTGCCCTGGTAGGTGATATCCCTTGGTTCCAGGCACCAGACTTTTAGAATTGATGCTGCATGGAAACTGAACAGACCTTTTTTTTCCCTATGCCCCATGTGTGCCCTTCTTCTCAGGATCGCTGCCTCAATTGCGGTAATGCCCACTCTACCTTCTAATGCACATGTATACACTACAAATTTGAGGAAGCCATCCTCAGTTTGAAGCACCGCAATTGCTTGTCTTTTCCTGAGGCAATACGCCAAGTCCACCATCTCTCCTCTCTCCTCTTTCGCTTGTGTATCTTATGCTCGTGTGCTGCATTTCACCTCTCCTCGCCCTTCCCTCCTTTCTCAGTCTCACAACCGTTTCCAGGCCTTAGACGCGGACACGCCCACCGCCGCCTCCCCTGTTTCTTTATGTTCTGGACAACAATGGGGTCCTCCTGGTTCTCCATCTGGTGTTTTCCTCCTTCCTTCCCAGTCTGCCACATCTCCTGTGTCTTCTTTCCCATCTCCCCCTGATCCTTCTTCCCAGCCCTCTTCCCTGTCTCTGGGCCCTCCACACCGTCTGTCTGTCCAGGCTGTTGTCCATCATCCTCCTGGCAATCTTCATGTTGTTTGCTCCCATTCTCCTTCTCCTGTTGAGGCACTAGAGACTCGCCTGGTACATTGTTGCTGGCACGTCTGTCTCTTTAAGTCAGAAACGTAAGCCTGGCTCCTCTCCTTCTTCTTCCCCGGCAGGTAAGAAGGCATCACATTCTTCCCTACCCTCCGCCTTCGACTCTCATTGCATCCCCCTCCCTTTTCGGTGGTTGGGCACCCTGTCCCAGCTATAGTGGTACCTTTAGCCTTCGATCTTTCTTGGTTACTGCCCTTGCAGAGGTTTGTTTCTGCCCCCACCCCCCTCCCCCTGCTTCCCTTGACTGCCCCTCTCCATTGCCTCCTCCTGCTTCGGACCCTCTCTGCCTCCCTTTGGTCTGTCCTCCCGCTCCCTTAACTCCATCATTCTTGCTCAATTTACCCATGCCCCCTAACCCTGATTTCTCTGATCCTTATCTTCTTTAGTATACTGTGTTCTTCTTTGCCTTTATTTCTTTGTTCTTCTCTGTTGTTGTTTTCTCTCCTTTTATTCCGACTTTTACCCAGTTATTCATTCCTTCATCCTTGCTCATTGGCAAGGTTGTTGGTCTTCTGTTACTGGTAACAAACCGCATGCTCTTTCAAGTAGTGTGTTCCCATGGCCTACCACCATCACTGGCAGTGGGAAACGGCTCTGGTGAGGTTGCGTATTGGCCATAATTGTTTACCTCACAAGCACTTAATGGGGCGCCGTCCTACTCCTTATTGTCCATGCTGCATTGTCCCACTTACAGTCATACATATCTTTGTTGAATGTCCTGACTTCCAGGACGAACGTGTGTCTTGCTTCCCGACCGTCCCTAGCGTTCACTTGTCCCTCGCTAGAATTCTTGGTGAATCGGATCCCTTTGATATCATTCGCCTTATGCATTTCTGTTCTCATATTGGCATCCTTAGTGATATTTAGTGCACTATGATTATTCTGCACATTTGATGGTACGACATGGCCTTCCAGCTTGGTGCCTTCTTTTGACAATTACTTACTTACTCAGATATGGCCCGGTTACCGTTTGAAAAGGAGTTATGGGGCTGGGTATAGGAGAAATGAGCTAGATGTGTGGTTAAATTTATTTACAGACATATTTATTTGGTAGTTGTCTGCAAAATTTTAATTTCAATCTATATTACAATGTGAAATTAGCTATAGAGCATGGGACATGCATACTGTAGGCATCTCTGGTTGCATCGAATCTCTCACTGCAATAAACTGGGTTTGTCTCGGTTCATTTTGTTGCCCAAGCTGGGCAACAAAAATCATTCGAGAACTAAGTTGACTCTCATACCAGGAACGTTTGAGGACTAACAGCACCTCAAACCAGACCTGGCAGGGCAAATCTCATCGAAACTTTTAAAATACTGAATAATTTGGAGGATATTGAGCCAGACCCATTTTCATAAGGTCACATGCAATGCAAACAAGGGGGCAACGGTTTCAAGGTCAACAAGCCACAATGCAGAACAGAAAACAGAAGATGATTTTTCACATTTGGTTTAAACCCATAGAGCTGCCTAGCATCATTTATGGCTACAGAAGCCATAAATGCCAAAACAGTGCTGAATTTACAATAAACATTGACAAAATTATCAGGACTAATGTGGGGGGAGGGGAGGGGACCTTAGTGGCCCTCGGGTAAATTTCTCTGGTGCTTCTTTCATGGAAGAGAATGCACTATTTCTTGATCCTTCCTTGGCAGTAGGGTATAACCACCTCTTCACTACAGGAGTGCTTCTTTCCCTAACAACATTGGTTACAGCTGGTGGTGGAGTGCTTTTGATTGCACTCTCACCCAAACAACTATTAAGGTTTCATAATGTGTGGTTTCACATCAACATCAGTCTTCCTGCATTCCTCTTATGTTGGAGAAATTCCACAATTGTTGATAGTATTCCTGTAGAAGAATGGCACTTGACACACCTAAGTACCAGGCTCCAGAGGCTGGAATGATTGTGTTTGTCTTTGTCGTTTATATGTGGTGCTCTGATATTGCAGCCAGTAATATTTGGTGTGGTGAGTGTGTACCTCATTGGCCAAAATAGTCACATGACACCATCAAAGTTTCTAGACTGTCCACGGATATGCTATTTTGTTAACACAGACTAACAAAAGAAGCATTCTAATACTAACTTAAAATGACATGTTATACTATTATATAATTTTAAAATTTTTAGAAGTTTTGCCATTTTATTATCAGGAATTTGTTGATTAATAATTATTGTATTTTCAATTTAGATATATAATTTGTTATATCTGATTTGCTTTGCAGGGCAAATACTTCTTGGTGGTTGAGATGGGTTCACAGTTATATCGATCCTTGGCTCCCATCCAGCCTTGGCTGTCATATCTGCTTGATGGATATGCTGGACCACGAAAAGTACTTGGGGTTTTCCTGTCAGCTACTTACATGGTTTGTAAGGGTCCTGACATCGTAGCCAAAATGAAGTGCTTTCAGTCTGCAATTGTCAAATTTATTCATAGTGTGGTAAGTGTTTTTTCTTAATCTGAGATATTTTCTAATAATATTTGTTGTAAAAATTTAGTAAAATGTTAAGTTCAGTGCTTGTATATTGGTTAATTTATTACTGCTCTTAAATTTACTTAAAGTTAGTTCACCCCTAGTAATATTAGGGTCTTGTAGTACAGTTGGCTTCTTTGTTGAATCACAATTGAGGATCCCGAGTTTGATTCCTGGGCAAGACAGAAATCGTTAGGCATGTTTCCTTTCACCTAATATCTCTGTTCACCTAGGTAACTAGGTACCCAGGAATTGGGCAACTATTGTGGGGTAGCATCCTGGGAAAGACAATAAAATATTTGACCTGGGTGGACCTTGGTACCAGCCTAAAGTGAGCGAGTGTGTGTGTGTGTGTGTGTGTGTGTGTGTATTTTAATATTTGTGCCTGCAGGATTGAGTTATCTCTTAGATACCCCTTTCTATATCTTTGCAATGGCAAAATATGACAGTACATGTACAATACTTTAAAATATATCATAATATTTTTAATTTTCACAGAATTATGGTTGCACTCCAAGCAAATCTCAGCTTGAAGATGCTGGAGGCCTGTGCCCAATTTGTCATGATGATTTCCTTCTACCAACCATGCTCAGATGTAAGCATATATTTTGTGAACAGTGTGTTGTCACTTGGTTTGACCGAGAACGAACCTGCCCAATGTGCAGAACGCAGGTAGCAGATGATCCAGCTTGGAGAGATGGCAGCACTTCGCATTTTCTTCAACTCTATTAATGTGAAATGATGGTAAACAAAGACATGTGGATGCTATGTTACATATCCTAAAACCTAAATTGTATTAATTTCAGAGAAGATTTTTAAATTTGTTTCTGTTATTATGGTGTTGTTCTTAACCTTTTTATTGTGATGCTTCCATTTCAACTCTGGTTCCATCTTGGGTCAATATGGGGTCAGAAAAAGGTTGTAGTTGGGTTTTAATACATTTTCTGTAAAAAAAAAAAAAGTTTTCCCATTTTATAATAGGAAATATGGCCCAAGTAGCTTAATTCCAGGCCAAAAATGTTCCAAAGACACATATTATAATAATGTAATTACAAACAGTATACATACTGTACTGTCTGGATTTTTAAATTTTTAATTTTTGTTGTAATAAAGATGTGTTCTCTCTATATATACTATACCATGAAAAATTGTTCAAAAATTTTTTTTAGTTTAAAAAAATATAAAAATAAAAAGGTAAATTAAAACAGCTTTTGAGTGTCATTCAATACCAGGTAATTAGTGTTCCCAATTCATAGACTATCTCCATAAATGCAACAGAAGGATATACCCGTCTAGTAATTTTATGTTGTGCGTGTTAGTTGCAAAATACAACTCAAAATTAATTATCTTCTAGTTACCCCTTCCCCCGCCTCTACATTGATTTTGTTGTTGTTTATTTTACATCTATAATGAGGAAAATACTCAACAAATTTGCCTTTAATCATTGTAGCATAATAGTAATGGTAAGCGAGTCTTTTTAACAATGAAGGATTTGCATTCAAAATCTAACTCCAAGTTTGAAGATTGAATTCAATATACTTTATTGCAGTACAATGTGACTTCAATTACCCAGACCAGTTGATATCTCTGGATGTTCACATAACCAAAAAGCTACATAATCAAATGAAGGTTGTGAAAATTTTTTTATATTTTGATATTTGTTTTTATTGACATGTGAAAAAATACCTGTAATAGATGTTTTAACAGGAATCCACCAACATATGTGTAGTAAATCATTTAAATTTTGTTGTAATTTGGTATAAGTAAGTGACCTCTGCTGCCAAATTGCACCAAGACATTACAGATAATGGAGAATAATCCCCCATTAGCTGTACATGCTCTAGCTAATGGGTGTGAAGAACCAGAAATTTCTGTCCGAATAATCCAAGATTGATGCAGATAATGGGAGTTTCCACTGTACTATGCAGTTTTTATTGTACTCTATTTGTGGTGACATTTGATTCTGTCACCAACAGATAGGAACACTCGCCAGTTTCAAGGTCAGAGGACCCAATGGAATGTTACATGATTTGGAAAATGCCTAGACACCTGGAATTAAGTAGAATATAATACTGTTTCGCACGGAATTCTGAGTGAGTAGTATTGATAATTGTTTAATTATGCTTGTTTAATTTTATATTGGGTGTGAATTTTAATATTTCTGTTACTTATTGTACCATACAGTACATTTTTGTTGGGGTGAATTATGTCCTTTTGTGAGGTAGAGGAGAAGCCCTAGTATTTGGGATTAAAAGAGTTTTGACTGGACATTACTGTATATAAATGTGAGGCTTCATTTGATTTTCACTGTGTACTTAAATAATTAATATTTCCTAAGGTCTGCAGTTTTTAGTGCTTAAATGATAAGCATGAAATGTAATTGGCAGTGATTTAGTTTTTATCAGTCTGAAAGAGCATCTTGTACAATTATTAATCTGTATATTGTGTGGTAGTGGCATGTGCCAGAAAAGTGACTGTACTTTCGGGACCACATGTATGGTGTAAGCAATGTACAGCAGCCTACTGTAATCAATATGCAAGGCACAAACTTTCATTTTCCAAAAAAATCAACACGTGCCAATGTTAATGAACATAATGATTACATCCTAGAAGTTTATTACATTTAAGTACAGTACTACAAAATATAATTTACAATTTTGGCAAAAATATTAGTAGAGTACAGTATTCAAAGTAACATTTGCTATTGCATTGAGTTTGACCATTATAAATTTTCAGCAGTAATTTTCATTAAAATTAAAATGGCCAATATGATTATTAATGCAGTAAAAAACAAACATTGAATGCCACCCTGTATTACACTGATAAAATGGCACATTGGAAATGATTATGTATGGTTGTTGCACAATTCTACAAATTGACTAAATAAGATTTTTTATTTGAATTTAATCAACTACAGTATTCTCTTGTGTCTATATAAAGTATACCTTCCTTTATTTCCCTAACTAATTGGAATATTTGATTATCTTACTGTTTGGTCAAAGTCTTTTATAATCTTTTTTTTTAATGCTAAAGTCATCCTGTAACAGATATAACAATAAAATTCAACATACAGTAATTCAAATAATATTTAGTAGCACCTGTGGTAAATTAATTATTAATACTTGATGTTCATTACTAATTAAACTAATTCTGATAAAACTAAAGTTGTTATGGCTGATATGATTGTCACGAGTCATTCAATTAAACTGTTAGATTTTTCAAATGTTACACAAATGACTCGGGTTTGATATCAAATTACGGGGTGCTGGTATGTTTACAAAATACAAGTATCTATTCAGGTAAAGTACATACATACAAGGTGAAATACAAAATTTGTTGCATTCATAGATAGAGCTAGTACATACAATGCCTAAAGCCACTATTACGCAAAGCGTTTCGGGCTACGCTTTGCCCGAAAAATATTTTACCTATAAAACATTTGGGTCCTAGAATTCAAAATTTTTGATGAATGGATTTGGCCTAGGATACAACTGCCCCTAAACCTAGGCAGTTGTATATCTAATTTGTAAGTACTGTAGATGCAAAGAAAGCATGTAAAAGTCCACTCCCTGCATCCCTTACTCTCTCAGCTTGTTCTAATCTTCTACCAACTGTGGGCATATAAAAATATATATAAAAAGGTGGCTGGAAAGGCTGAGTCCAAGGGCAAAAGCTCAATCATGTAGACACAAATAGGCGAGCACACTCGCACTCAGACATCTAAATGGCTTCCAAAACTTAAAAAAAATATGAAGATGAGCTAAAGGTATTAAATATATCAAAGCTAAAATGAAGACAAAAGAAAGAAAAAAGGTGATATGATCACTATGTACAAAATAGTAACCGAAATTACAAAGAATTCTTGAAAACTACAACTTCAAGAACAAAGAGATTATAGATTCAAACTAAGGGAAACAAAACTGGCAAAAAACATTA